AAAAGCATTTCTTTATGAAGGTATCTGTCTTAAAAGCTTTTTGGCCATACTTCTCTTGTGGGTCACAGGAGTACATTTACTTTTTCTCTCCTGTGACCCAGAGTCAGCCTCTAGTGGGCTGCCCTCTGTCAGCTGATGTGGCAGAGCTGCTCCAGAATCTGGAGTGATCCCGTTAATAATGTCAGGATCCACCCAGCTGCCTGACAGCTGGCTCTGGATATCAGCATGCGGCTGAGAGCCGAAGCCAGCTGCTCCCATGCCTCTCCAGCCCGGTGCTCCAGTGCAGTGTTTTCTCAACCTTTTTTCAGTCAAGGCACCCTTTTAAAATTATGGATAATCTCAAGGCACCCTATAAAATTCAGCACAATCTCAAGGCATCCCATTCTAAAATGTAAAAAACTATTCTACACACATCCAGTACACCACGATAGAGGTGATTTATTCTTTCAAAGCAAATACACCTTTGCACACTGGTACCAGCTAGTATTCCATTGTGTCGTGTTTCTCTCCCTCACTCTGCTATTGTAACTGCGGTGGTGATGGAGAGGGGAAAATAAGGATGATGTGCATGCACCCCCCACATCCTCCTTATCAACTGATGATGTCATTGGTTGTTAGGATGCAGGCAGCTAGAAGGTCATAAAAGTACACAATGAAAACCTGTTGCTTTGTGTACTAAAAGGCATGATTGATGCACTTGCTAGCTTGTATACAATTTTTGGGCATTTTGCCAAGGCACCCCTGAAGAAGCCTGAAGGCACACTAGGGTACCTGGGCACCCTGGTTGAGAGAGGCTGTTCCAGTGTGTGCTGCAAGATCAGTAATCATGTGAACGTTCTGCTTTTCGTGTTCTAGCCAACATGGGAAAGCTGCAGAATCACAGCAATTATTTTCGCATAGAGGTGATTATGGTGTGTTTTTTTTTGTTTTGTTTTTTTTTTTACCTCAAACTTCTCTTTTACTGAAGGACAGATTACAGTTCACTGTGGAATTGATGTGAATTGTTGAACATCTGAACAAAATGTGCACTTATGAAAAGAGCACTTAAAAAAATGCCCCTAGTTGGACTAAGCTGTGCATCTTAAGCGTTCATCAGCATCCAGAATAATGGTAAAATATAATTAAGAATTATTTTTTAAATGATGATCTACAGCCTATATAGATATAAAGTGATTTTAAAGGCAAGGTGATGTTTTTTTTTGTTTTGTTTTTTTTTTAAATAACGTCATACTTACCTGCTCTGTGCAGTGGTTTTGCACAGGGCAGCCCTGATCATCCTCTTCTCAGGGTCCCCTGCTGTTGCTCCTGGCACCTCGCTCCTGCAGAGTGCCTCCGGAGCAAGTAGCTTTATCCATCTGTTTTTTAGCTTAGAACTACTACAAAAACCTTTCACAGACCTAGGATTCCTGATAATCATAGGAACAAATTGAAATTTTATTTAACAGTCAACACATCTAGTATGCTTGTTGAGACTAGCAACACCCTCTGAAGAGCAATCTATGTTTTGAACACTCTTCATAGAGCATTTAAGGTGAAACAATTGTTTAAATGATGAATTGTTTAAATAAAATCTTTTTTTGCAGGACACTCTCACCTATGGGGGCATTCATGCTGGCTCTCTCCTGAGCCCGGCAGCCCAACATTGCAAAATCATGTGCATTGCACCCACAATGTTCTGATCATGGGTGCAATGCTCTGCAGATTATAGTGGAAAAAAGTAGTAAATTAATAAATATAATTTTAGATTCATATTGCTGCATTTACTTCTTTTTGTAGAAGTATTAAAGGTCAACTAAGCCTTTTAACACAGAACAGTTTTCATAGTGTTTGTGCAATAAGCAAAACTTTCAAGTCTTCTTTACCAATTTAGCATTTAACCACATTCAACAGTAGCCTGTTTTTCAGTTCAGAAGCTCAATTGGTGTATACATGCATAACATTTTCCACATTTCTTTATCAAGCTGCCATTATGAAATGTTAATAACAGTGTGTAAAAAAAAAAAAAAAAAAAAAAAAAAAATATATATATATATATATATATATACAGTCAGGTCCATAAATATTGGGACATCAACACAATTCTAACATTTTTGGCTCTATACACCACCACAATGGATTTGAAATTAAACAAACAAGATGTGCTTTAACTGCAGACTGTCAGCTTTAATTTGAGGGTATTTACATCCAAATCAGGTGAACGGTGTAGGAATTACAAAACAGTTTGCATATGTGCCTCCCACTTATTAAGGGACCAAAAGTAATGGGACAATTGGCTTCTCAGCCGTTCCATGACCAGGTGTGTGTTATTTCCTCATTATCCCAATTACAATGAGCAGATAAAAGGTCCAGAGTTCATTTCAAGTGTGCTATTTGCATTTGGAATCTGTTGCTGTCAACTCTCAAGATGAGATCCAAAGAGCTGTCACTATCAGTGAAGCAAGCCATCATTAGGCTGAAAAAACAAAACAAACCCATCAGAGAGATAGCAAAAACATTAGGCGTGGCCAAAACAACTGTTTGGAACATCCTTAAAAAGAAGGAACGCACCGGTGAGCTCAGCAACACCAAAAGACCCGGAAGACCACGGAAAACAACTGTGGTGGATGACCGAAGAATTCTTTCCCTGGTGAAGAAAACACCCTTCACAAACAGTTGGCCAGATCAAGAACACTCTCCAGGAGGTAGGTGTATGTGTGTCAAAGTCAACAATCAAGAGAAGACTTCACCAGAGTGAATACAGAGGGTTCACCACAAGATGTAAACCATTGGTGAGCCTCAAAAACAGGAAGGCCAGATTAGAGTTTGCCAAACGACATCTAAAAAAGCCTTCAAAGTTCTGGAACAACATCCTATGGACAGATGAGACCAAGATCAACTTGTACCAGAGTGATGGGAAGAGAAGAGTATGGAGAAGGAAAGGAACTGCTCATGATCCTAAGCATACCACCTCATCAGTGAAGCATGGTGGTGGTAGTGTCATGGCGTGGGCATGTATGGCTGCCAATGGAACTGGTTCTCTTGTATTTATTGATGATGTGACTGCTGACAAAAGCAGTAGGATGAATTCTGAAGTGTTTCGGGCAATATTATCTGCTCATATTCAGCCAAATGCTTCAGAACGCATTGGACGCCGCTTCACAGTGCAGATGGACAATGACCCAAAGCATACTGCAAAAGCAACCAAAGAGTTTTTTAAGGGAAAAAAGTGGAATGTTATGCAATGGCCAAGTCAATCACCTGACCTGAATCCGATTGAGCATGCATTTCACTTGCTGAAGACAAAACTGAAGGGAAAATGCCCCAAGAACAAGCAGGAACTGAAGACAGTTGCAGTAGAGGCCTGGCAGAGCATCACCAGGGATGAAACCCAGCGTCTGGTGATGTCTATGCGTTCCAGACTTTAGGCTATAATTGACAGCAAAGGATTTGCAACCAAGTATTAAAAAGTGAAAGTTTGATTTATGATTATTATTCTGTCCCATTACTTTTGGTTCCTTAATAAGTGGGAGGCACATATGCAAACTGTTGTAATTCCTACACCGTTCACCTGATTTGGATGTAAATACCCTCAAATTAAAGCTGACAGTCTGCAGTTAAAGTACATCTTGTTCGTTTCATTTCAAATCCATTGTGGTGGTGTTATAGAGCCAAAAATTTTAGAATTGTGTCGATGTCCCAATATTTATGGACCTGACTGTATATAGTATACACTCAGCGGCCACTTTATTAAGTACACCTATTCAATTGTTTGGTAACACAAATTGCTAATCAGCCAATCGCATTGCAGAAACTCAATGCATTTAGGTATCTAGAAATGGTAAAGACGACATGCTGAAGTTCAAACTGAGCATCAGAATTGGGGAAAAAAGGGGATTTAAGTGACTTTGAATGTGGCATGGTTGTTGGTGCCAGGCGAGCTGGTCTGAGTATTTAAAAAAAACTGCTGATCTACTAAGATTTTCACGCACGACCATCTCCAGGATTTACAGAGAATGGTCCGAAAAATGGAAAATATCTAGTGAGTCTCAGCTGTGTGGACAAAAATGCGTTGTTGATGTCAGAGGAGAATGGGTGAACTGGTTTGAGATGATAGGCAACAGTAACTCAAATAACCACTCGTCACAACCAAGGTATGCAGAATCCCATCTCTGAATGTACAACACGTTGGACCTTGAAGCAGATGGGCTACAGCAGCAGAAGACCACACCGGGTGCCACTCCTGTCAGCTTAGAACAGGAAACAGAGGCTGCAGTTCGCACAGGCTCCACAAAATTGGACAATAGAAGATTGGAAAAATTATGCCTGGTCTGATGAGTTTCGATTTCCCTAGAGATAGTAATGCGTGAAAATCCCAGTAGATCAGCAGTTGTTGAAATACTGAGACCAGCCCATCTGGCACCAACAACCATGCCACATTCAAAGTCTCTTAAATCCCCTTTCTTTCCCATTCTGATGCTCTGTTTGAACTTCAGCAAGTCGTCTGCATGCCCAAATGCATTGAGTTGTTGCCATGTGATTGGCTGATTAGCAATTTGTGTTAACAAGCAAACAAATAGGTGTACCTAATAAAGTGGCTGGTAAGTGTATATATATTGGTTATCATCTGTCTTCAGCTTTTTTTGGACTTTCTATTGTAGATCAAACCATGCTATCTCTACTAACTAGCTCAAGTTCCTGCTTGGGCAACTCCTTCCAAAATATTTTAAGACAAATATGTGAAATCGCAGTGTATTAAGTCACTTTTACTGTTTCATTTTTTTATGATTAATACATTTCTATATGCTAGTAACAACATGTTTTTCATCTCTAGTTTCCAAGTATTTGGCTCTTCTTATTGAAGTTAGGCCTGTCAACAATCTCAAGGTTCTCAAAGCTGTGGATATCAGTGTCCGAGTACAGGTAACCATAAGACATTAATAAAACTGTGCCTTCTATTTATTCAGAATATTTAATGAGTCAGTAAAATAAATCATATGTAAAACATGGGAATAGGAATAGGCTTGTTTTATAAGATCATTGCTTAACCACTTCCCGACCGGCCGTTGTATATAAACGGCCGGACCGTGGCAGTGCAGGGTCGGGTGGCTGTTTATAAACGGCCTCCCCGCACCCTGCTTGTGCGCGTTCCCTGGGAGCGCGCAGCACCGCGATCCGGTGCCCACTGTGTCCTCCGGACACAGTGAAACACCGATCGTCGGATGGGACCTCTGTACGAGGTCCCGATCATGTGATCACTAACTGGCCAATCAGTGATCACATGCAAAGTATCACTTGTGACACCATTTGGGAGATATTCACGGTTTCTGCAACCGGTGACGTCACCGGCACATGCTCTATGAAGGGGAGGGCATACCCCATGCCATTTCTTCAGAGCTCTGTACTGCAAGTGTGACTCCAGTGCACATGCTTGAGAGTGGCATTATTGCGGCTCGGGCCATTCAAATGCCTGTGAACGTGGAAGGAAGACCAAGTTAAAATAGAAGCCTTGTCAGTAGTGATAGCAAGCCGCTAGAGAAGCGGTTCTCAACCTGGGGGTCGCGACCCCTTTGGGGGTCGAACGACTATTTCCCAGGGGTCGCCTAAGACCATCGGAAAACACATATTTCCGATGGTCTTAGGAACCGAGACACTGCTCCTCTGACTCAGTCGATGTGTGGGCGGGATGACACGCTGCCCTGTCACCTGGCCACACCTCCGGGATCCCTCAACAACTCCGCCTCCTCGCCGCTGATTGGCCACCGGAACTGTAGCTCAGGAGAGGCACACAGGCGGCCATCACCGGCGAGGTAGGTGGAGCTTGGAGAGGAGGAGCCGAGCCGGGCGGCAGCGCGCGTAGATCTAAGAAGATCGAGGGAACTGCCGGAGTAAGTGAAGAGGAGAGCGGCCAGAGAAGGAAGACAGCTGGACAGGTAAGTGAGAGAGCGAGCCCAGGCTGGAGCAGGGGTCAGCAAGGTGAGTATCGTTTGGTGTCAGTGGGAGGAATAGTGCCCCATGATTTGTGTGACTAATACCAACAATGGGGCACTATTTCTCCACTGACACCAATGATGGGGCACTATTTCCTCCCCCCCGCGCCGCACTGACACCAATGATGGGGCACTATTCCTCCCCCCCACTGACACCAACGATGGGGCACTATTCCTCCCCCCCACTGACACCAAACGATGGGGCACTATTCCTCCCCCCCCCACCGACACCAACGATGGGGCACTATTCCCCCCCCACTGACACCAAGAATGGGGCACTATTCCTCCCCCCCACCGACACCAACGATGGGGCACTATTCCCCCCCCTGACCCCAAAGATGGGGCCACTATTTCCCCCTCCACCACACTGACATCAATGATGGGGCACTATTCCTCCCCCACTGACACCAATGATGGGGCACTATTCCCCCCACTGACACCAATGATGGGGCACTATTCCCCCCACTGACACCAATGATGGGGCACTATTCCCCCCACTGACACCAATGATGGGGCACTATTCCCCCCACTGACACCAATGATGGGGCACTATTCCCCCCACTGACACCAATGATGGGGCACTATTCCTCCCCCCACCGACACCAACGATGGGGCACTATTCCCCCCCCTGACCCCAAAGATGGGGCACTATTTCCCCTCCACCACACTGACATCAATGATGGGGCACTATTCCTCCCACTGACAAAAATGATGGGGCACTATTCCCCCCACTGACACCAATGATGGGGCACTATTCCCCCACTGACACCAATGATGGGGCACTATTCCCCCCACTGACACCAATGATGGGGCACTATTCCCCCCACTGACACCAATGATGGGGCACTATTCCCCCCACTGACACCAATGATGGGGCACTATTCCCCCCACTGACACCAATGATGGGGCACTATTCCCCCCACTGACACCAATGATGGGGCACTATTCCCCCACTGACACCAATGATGGGGCACTATTCCCCCCACTGACACCAATGATGGGGCACTATTCCCCCCACTGACACCAATGATGGGGCACTATTCCCCCACTGACACCAATGATGGGGCACTATTCCCCCCACTGACACCAATGATGGGGCACTATTCCCCCCACTGACACCAATGATGGGGCACTATTCCCCCCACTGACACCAATGATGGGGCACTATTCCCCCCACTGACACCAATGATGGGGCACTATTCCCCCCCACTGACACCAATGATGGGGCACTATTCCCCCCACTGACACCAATGATGGGGCACTATTCCCCCCACTGACACCAATGATGGGGCACTATTCCCCCCACTGACACCAATGATGGGGCACTATTCCCCCCCACTGACACCAATGATGGGGCACTATTCCCCCCACTGACACCAATGATGGGGCACTATTCCCCCCACTGACACCAATGATGGGGCACTATTCCCCCCCACTGACACCAATGATGGGGCACTATTCCCCCCCACTGACACCAATGATGGGGCACTATTCCCCCCACTGACACCAATGATGGGGCACTATTCCCCCCCACTGACACCAATGATGGGGCACTATTCCCCCCACTGACACCAACGATGGGGCACACTATTCCCCCCACTGACACCAACGATGGGGCACTATTCCCCCCCACTGACACCAACGATGGGGCACTATTCCCCCCCACACTGACACCAACGATGGGGCACTATTCCCCCCCACTGACACCAACGATGGGGCACTATTCCCCCCCACTGACACCAACGATGGGGCACTATTCCCCCCCACTGACACCAACGATGGGGCACTATTCCCCCCCACTGACACCAACGATGGGGCACTATTCCCCCCACTGACACCAACGATGGGGCACTATTCCCCCCCACTGACACCAACGATGGGGCACTATTCCCCCCCACTGACACCAACGATGGGGCACTATTCCCCCCCACTGACACCAACGATGGGGCACTATTCCCCCCCACTGACACCAACGATGGGGCACTATTCCCCCCCACTGACACCAAACGATGGGGCACTATTCCCCCCCACTGACACCAACGATGGGGCACTATTCCCCCCACTGACACCAACGATGGGGCACTATTCCCCCCCACTGACACCAACGATGGGGCATATTCCCCCCCACTGACACCAACGATGGGGCACTATTCCCCCCACTGACACCAACGATGGGGCACTATTCCCCCCCCACTGACACCAACGATGGGGCACTATTCCCCCCCACTGACACCAACGATGGGGCACTATTCCCCCCCACTGACACCAACGATGGGGCACTATTCCCCCCCACTGACACCAACGATGGGGCACTATTCCCCCCCACTGACACCAACGATGGGGCACTATTCCCCCCCACTGACACCAACGATGGGGCACTATTCCCCCCCACTGACACCAACGATGGGGCACTATTCCCCCCCACTGACACCAACGATGGGGCACTATTCCCCCCCACTGACACCAACGATGGGGCACTATTCCCCCCCCACTGACACCAACGATGGGGCACTATTCCCCCCCACTGACACCAACGATGGGGCACTATTCCCCCCCACTGACACCCAACGATGGGGCACTATTCCCCCCCACTGACACCAACGATGGGGCACTATTCCCCCCCGACTGACACCAACGATGGGGCACTATTCCCCCCCACTGACACCAACGATGGGGCACTATTCCCCCCCACTGACACCAACGATGGGGCACTATTCCCCCCCACTGACACCAACGATGGGGCACTACTCCTTCCACTGCAAAATTACAGTTATGAAGTAGCAACGAAAATAATTTTATGGTTGGGGGTCACCACAACATGAGGAACTGTATTAAGGGGTCGCGGCATTAGAAAGGTTGAGAACCACTGCGCTAGAGGGCTTCGTTTTAAGGCAAGTATTTTATAATGTGCTAGTATGCAGTGTGTACTAGCACATTATATCACCTTGCAGAATGATCTATCTTTTTTTTTTTTTTTTACGTTTACTACCACTTTAAGGGGAAGCTTGTGCTTTGCTGTCTTTTTTTGCTAATTCATAGTAGTTCATTAAGTTTTTATTATTTATGAAATATTTATTTGTAATACATAAATACAAATTATCCCTAATAAAATTGCCTCCCAAAAACAATTGTGATGGTTTTATTCTAATATTTGTTTTTACATTTTTGCATTTGTTTTGCATTATATCTCTGGTTTACACACCCAATACATACCAGTTGCACAGAGCCCCTACTAGTTTAGGTGGCATATACAGTACTTTTTGCAGAATTGGTGTTTTGATATAGATCACTGAATAGCTTTCTGTAAGATTGTACTTGCAGCGTTCGGAATGGTTGTATATTTGTAGTCAACGTGTGTCTGTGTGTGTGTGTGTGTGTGTGTGTGTGTGTGTGTAATATAAAAATATCATTTATTTTTTATTTTTTTTTTTTCTAGTTTTTGCATCTTGGTGAAGCTAAACATTCATCCTTTGAAAGTCACTTGTTACTATTTTCAGAAGAAAAATGTGAGTATTTGCACAAATACATTTTTATCTAAAATATATATATTTTTTTTTATTTATTTTTACCTGAAGTAAGTGGAAAAGTTTCTCTTGTGAATGTTGTATGGCAGTCACATACTGTAGACCAAGGAGGGCCCAGTGTGGAGTTTCCTCCCTTTTTTTTTTTTTTCCCATTTGGTCTAGTGCAAGTAGCACTGTATAATAATTTAGCTGCCTGCATTCATTCACACACATGCCTGAAGTAGATTTTATCCCGATAACTAAAGAGGCCCATAGATTGTTGTGGTTTTTTTTTTTGTTTGTTTTTTTTTTGCCGTGAACGAAAAACTGTCTCGATTTACCCATCCACACAACGAGGGCAAGAAAAAACTTACCTGTGTGTGTCTGTGTCTGGGGCCCTTTATCTTCAGTTGTAGCTCATACAATAGTGGGGCAAGTATCCTAACCAATGTCAATATAAATATAGAAGTAATGTGGCTTGGTTCCTGTTCCAATTTCACCCTGTTCTGTGAATACCAAGGCATAGAAAGGGAAAACACATGATAGACAAGTGAACAGTCTTGTGTTGTATCACGGCAGAGTTTTGTTTTTTTGTTTTGTTTTTTACAGTATGCAAAAACTGTAAAGCAGTCCTCCCTCTCCACCTTCTTTTCTTCTTTTCTTTTTTTCTTCTTTCTTCTTTTCGCTTTTTCTTCTTTCTTCATTTTTTCTTTTTCTTTTCTTCTTTTTCTTCAGAAAACTAGAAACCTACAGGAGAATGGAAAATTTTTCATGACTACAGTGGATAACTTGTTCATAGCCATGAATTGGATTCCTTGTTTAATTTTTCCAGATAATGAAAGATCAAACCTGATTATTCCGTATGTGCTAGATCTTCAGTTTGTGGATTTTTTTTCTACAGTGTGTATAAGTAGGTCCCTTAGTTTGACTTTGAATTTTTTTCTTTTGGAAAAGTCTTTCTCTGACACAAACATTGAAATAAGTACATTAGAGTCCTTTTCACTGAGGAGGAACTGGGTGTTTTGGTGGAATCCCATGCTGTATTTCCATTGAAGAACATGGCAAACCTAAGTGTCTTTTCTTTGCAGATATTGAGAGGTTTAATATAGACACAGAAAAAAATGAAGATAAAGTGGTACGTTAACACATTTTGTTACTAATATTTCATGGGCATTTTATGCTATGAAAATGGTAATTGGTACAGTGGGCGGCACATAATATGTAACATTATATCAAAAGTAATAACTTTAAGACGTGACAGTCAAGGTTCATGTAGATTCAGAATATATGTGTGTGTGTGTGTATTACTTCTTTGAGATATAAATAATAAATACAATTTTGAAAAATGTGTACACTTAAAGCGGAACTAAAGTCCTGTTGTAAAAACCTGCGAGCAGGCAGGCTTTTATTGCAGAAGAGACATGTAGTATCTCTTCTGCAATAAAATTCCCCTACGTTCTTGCTCGCCATCTCCTCTGGCATTTTAAACTGAGCTGCTCAGCCTACAGTGCCAGGCCGGTCTCCAAGTGCCAGGATGATGGCCAAATGTGCAGGAGTGACATCATCCTCTGCCGACTACTGAAGAGGCCTGAAGACTGGAACTCAGAAGATGCCAGCACAAGACCATTCGACAGGTAGTTATAGAGACTTTAGTTCCTATCTAAGTTACAAACTAAGGCATCCTTCACACAATGTGCAGAGACGTGAGTTTTTTTTCTGCACCGGTTTCTGCAAGGGATCAATGAAAACAATAAACATAAGAACCAAGAGATGTGCTACAAAAAAAAATATGTGCACAACTGAATTAAATAATAAAGTCTGAAAATTCCGGTAATAAAGAGTCCATCCCCAGTGTGTGTTTTTATAAATGAGTAGTCTTCTATAAACAAAAGCTATTCATGCTGTGCATTCAGCCACCCAAAGCAAAATATCTGCTCACCTCCAAATGCAGAACCCAATATGAATTCAAAGTCATAAAGGCATATTTTATGTCTTCCAAGGTAGTGTCTCCTCTACTCCACTATAGCACTCTACCCCTTCAGGAGCTCACCACTCACAGGCAGGGATACATGTGAACATAAAATGGGACGAATAGTATAAATAACTTTTATAGGGACATCCAGCCACGACATATATCATACTCTCAGAACTGACTTCATACGCAACGTGGCTCTGACCCTATAATTTGATGTGAAATCAACATTGTGGTGTGAAGAGGACACATAGAGAACAATTTGTTTTTTGTGCTCTTGCAGAGAATTTTTGTTACATATTTCTGCTCAGAAAAAAAAATCCACATGTCACAGCAGTGTTATGGTGTGAACAGGACACGTAGAAAAAAAATAGTTTTTTCTTTTGTGTCCTTGCAGAGACATACATAACAAATATGCATGTCTCTGCACATGGTGTGAACAAACCTATGCAAGTTAAATTGGCACGTTTTTTTTTCCATCAGTTTTTAGGCCTGCATGGTGTGAATGAGGCCTTATTGTATTCCAGTAGTTGTGATTGCAGGTTTTGTTTTATACTTTAGGCAGTTGATAAATGTGTCTGTGTTATGACTGTTACCAGTTTTAATTTAAAAAGCTGTCAGATGATCATTCTGGAGTTGTTCTACATCAGAGCACTAAACGGTGATATTTTTTACAAGATTGTGATGATTTCATCAAGGAGGTTTCTTTTGTCTTTTTATGTATGTGTGGCTGGCTATTGCTTTCGTAATTTTAATATGGAATATGTTCCTTTTGTGCTACAGGTCATTAAAAACTCTGGACAGATCCTTAAGGACAGAATAGTTGAAGACTTTGTGTGGGCACAATGGGACATGTCAGGCCAGAGACTCTTTTATATTATACCCAAGGTATATTGTGTTGTGTGTTTTCAGCTCTATATGTCTAATTATCTACAGTCAGGTCCATAAATATTGGGACATCAACACAATTCTAACATTTTTGGCTCTATACACCACCACAATGGATTTGAAATGAAACAAACAAGATGTGCTTTAACTGCAGACTGTCCGCTTTAATTTGAGGGTATTTACATCCAAATCAGGTGAACGGTGTAGGAATTACAACAGTTTGCATATGTGCCTCCCACTTTTTAGGGGACCAAAAGTAATGGGACAGAAAAATAATCCTAAATCAAATTTTCACTTTTTAATACTTGGTTGCAAATCCTTTGCAGTCAATTACAGCCTGAAGTCTGGAACGCACAGACATCACCAGACACTGGGTTTCATCCCTGGTGATACTCTGCCAGGCCTCTACTGCAACTGTCTTCAGTTCCTGCTTGTTCATGGGGCATTTTCCCTTCAGTTTTGTCTTCAGCAAGTGAAATGCATAGTCAATCGGATTCAGGTCAGGTGATTGACTTGGCCATTGCAGAACATTCCACTTCTTTCCCTTAAACTCTTTGGTTGCTTTTGCAGTATGCTTTGGGTCATTGTCCATCTGCACTGTGAAGCGGCGTCCAATGAGTTCTTAAGCATTTGGCTGAATATGAGCAGATAATATTGCCCGAAACACTTCAGAATTCATCCTGCTGCTTTTGTCAGCAGTCACATAATCAATAAATACAAGAGAACCAGTTCCATTGGCAGACATATATGCCCACGCCATGACACTACCACCACCATGCTTCACTGATGAGGTGGTATGCTTGGGATCATGAGCAATTCCTTTCCTTCTCCATACTCTTCTCTTCCCATCACTCTGGTACAAGTTGATCTTGGTCTCATCTGTCCATAGGATGTTGTTCCAGAACTGTGAAGGCTTTTTTAGATGTCGTTTGGCAAACTCTAATCTGGCCTTCCTGTTTTTGAGGCTCACCAATGGTTTACATCTTGTGGTGAACCCTCTGTATTCACTCTGGTGAAGTCTTCTCTTGATTGTTGACTTTAACACACATACACCTACCTCCTGGAGAGTGTTCTTGATCTGGCCAACTGTTGTGAAGGGTGTTTTCTTCACCAGGGAAAGAATTCTTCGGTCATCCACCACAGTTGTTTTCCGCGGTCTTCCGGGTCTTTTTGTGTTGCTGAGCTCACCGATGCGTTCCTTCTTTTTAAGAATGTTCCAAACAGTTGTTTTGGCCCACGCCTAATGTTTTTGCTATCTCTCTGATGGGTTTGTTTTGTTTTTTTTCAGCCTAATGATGGCTTGCTTCACTGATAGTGACAGCTCTTTGGATCTCATCTTGATAGTTGACAGCAACAGATTCCAAATGCAAATAGCACACTTGAAATGAACTCTGGACCTTTTATCTGCTCATTGTAATTGGGATAATGAGGGAATAACACACACCTGGCCATGGAACTGCTGAGAAGCCAATTGTCCCATTACTTTTGGTCCCTTAACAAGTGGGAGGCACATATGCAAACTGTTGTAATTCCCACACCGTTCACCTGATTTGAATGTAAATACCCTCAAATTAAAGCTGACAGTCTGCAGTTAAAGCACATCTTGTTCGTTTCATTTCAAATCCATTGTGGTGGTATATAGAGCCAAAAATGTTAGAATTGTGTTGATGTCCCAATATTTATGGACCTGACTGTATATGTTTTTAAACCAGTGGCTTTTACCACACATTCACTGGTAGTGAATCACTGTCATTTAGAACACACCCAAGTAGAAGATTCACCTGCAGTGATTGGTGAATGTCTTAGCTGCTTTATAAATATGCCCCCATATTTCTTTAGATGTATCTTTTTAGGCAACTAAGCTCTGATAAAATGTGCTCTGCAAAGATGTTTTACTATTTAACTTGTTACATGGTTACATTTGGTCTCTATACACAAAGTATCTCTTCCACAGCAATGTGTTGTGAAATCATACATTTCAGGAAACCTATGCAAGGGAATTGAAAAGAATTGGGAAGGGAGGAAAAGGGTCTAGTACATTAGGAACTCTAAGCGATTCATGGAGGTGAGATGTAATGAACGTACGGGTCCCAAACGGTTTAAAATTATCATTCACCGTGATCCAGTGTCAAAGTCCTCAACCAAGTCCAGGGGATCACTGACCTTTGCCAGCTCTTAGCTATTTTAGCTATAACTATATAAGAAAATAATATTCCTGATCCCTTTGGATTGGGGGGGAACAGGGTTTTTTTTTTTTTTTTTTAAAGATTAATGAAGGTGATGGCATAGATGAGGGCACAAATCCTAGTCCAAAATCTCTGAACGCTTGGGCACAGCCACGTAAGTGAGGTATGGTGCCCTTGATTGAGCATCCTCAAACATTTTGACAATATCCCTGGATTAAATTTAGTGCTTTGCTGATCTTCGGGTCCCCAGGGCTGCCATGCTAACTGTGTAAAGACGGCTGTGACTCCTTGCGGCTTCATAGCCAGCTCCCCACTGTGCATTTGTGAGCTGCGCTGCACCTTCTGAATGGTCCTGCAGCGCTCTGAGACCTGTGATGTGTCCCAAGAGGCTGCAGGCACAGATAAGGGTTTAAGAACTTCTGCTAGGATTGCCTAGGTGATCTGTATGGAAATGGCAGCGGGTATCTGTCAAAACCAGGTACCCGCTCCCAAAAAAAAAATAGTGTGCCAAAAGTTGAAGAGGCTAGGGAGGAGACTGCAGAAGATTGCAACTTCCCTTTTTTTAGGGGTGAAGTTTCTGCTTTAACTTTTTTGTTTAGGTAGTATTTACATTTACTGTTTGCGGTTTAGGTATTTAACTTTACTATTTAGGTAACCCAATGTTATCACCGCTTCTAGACTGTATCAAATGAGTTGCCCTTACAGTGAGGAAAATAATTGTTTGATCCCCTGAAAAGTTTGTAAGTTTTCCCACTTACAAAGAAATGAAGGGTCTATCATTTGTATCATAGATGTATTTTAAATGATAGAGACAAAATATTAACTAAAAATCCAGAAAAAAAAACACAATACAAATGTTATAAATTGAGGTGCAGTTCAGTGAGTAAAATAAGTATTTGATCCCCAGGCAAAATGTGACTTAATACTTGGTGGAGAAACCCTTCTTGGCAAGCACAGAGGTAAGACATTTCTTGTAGTTGGTGACCAGGTTTGCTCACATCTCAGGAGGGATTTTGGTCAACTCTTCTTTACAGATCTTCTCTAAATCCTTAAGGTTTCTTGGCTGTTGCTTGGCAACTCGAAGTTTCAGCTCCCTTCATAAATTTTCTATAGAATTAAGTTCTGGAGTCTGGCTAGGCCACTCCATGACCTTGATGTGCTTCTTCTTGAGCTACTCCTTTGTCTACTCCTTTGTTGCCTTGGCAGTATGTTTTGGGTCATTGTCATGCTGGAAGACCCATCCACGGCCCATCGTCTGTGTTTTGGATGAGGAAAGAAGGTTCTCATCCAAGATTTTACAATACATGGCCCTGTCAATGTGGCAAAGTTGGCCTGTACCTTTTAGCAGAGAAACAGCCCTAAAGCATAATGTTTCCACCACTGTGCTTGACTGTAGGAATGGTGTTCTTAGGTTCATAGTCAGCATTTTTCTTCCTCCAAACAAGGCGAGTCAACTTAATGCCAAAGAGCTCAATTTTGGTCTCATCTAACTACAGCACTTTCTCCCAATCCTTCTCTGAAACATTTAGATGTTCATTGGCAAACTTCAGACGGGCTTGTACATGTGCCTTCTTGAGGAGGGGGGACCTTGCGAGTGCTGCAGGATGTTCAATCCATGGCGTCGTATTGTATTACCAATGGTTTGTTTGGTGACTGTGGTCCTAACTGCCTTGAGATTATTCACAAGCTCCTTCCATGTAGTTCTGGGCTGACCCCTCACTTTTCTCATTATCTTGCCCCATGATACGAAATCTTGCATGGAGCTCCAGACCGAGAGCGATTGATGGTTATGTTGTATTTCTTCCATTTGTGAGTAATCGTTCCAACAGTTGTCTCCTTCTCACTAAGCTTCTTGCTGATGGTCTTGTAGCCCATTCCAGTCTTGTGTAGGTCTACAATCTTGTCCCTAACGTCCTTTTGACAGCTCTTTGGTCTTGCCCATGATGGTGAGTAAGAATGAGATTCTGTGGACAGGTGTCTTTTATACATATGAGTTTGTCGTTGGGAGCGCATTCTTAAATTGACAGGGCTAATCTGTGTAGCACATGAGCACATAACCAGTCTGTGGGAGCCAGAATTATTGTTAGTTGATAGGGGATCAAATACTTTTTACTCACTGAACTGCAGCTCAAATTAAAACATTTTTTATCATGTGTTTTTTTTTCTGGCTTTGTGGTTGATATCCTGAGTTTTTATCATTTAAAATACACCTATGATAAAAATTATAGACCCTTCATTTCTTTGTAACTGGACAAATTTACAAAATCTGCAGGAGATCAAATAATTTCCCCACTTTATATGCTATTTCTCAACATGTGACAGTGACTGTATTGAGGCTGAAAAAATACTTTTGTCTTGATCTAATTGTGTTGAATAGCGTCTAAGTTGTAGGGTTTTTTTTCTTTCCTTTTCTGTTTTGCGTGACTTTTTTTTTTTTTTTTTCAAGTTTTCACACTGTGTAATTTTATTTACAAAACGGTAATTAAAGGGTAATACATCTTTACTGCTACCAGGCAAGGAATGGGAAATTTTAGCCCAGGGAACAAAATGTTCCTTTCACAAAAGGTCCAGGCATCACATAGCCTTCCAAAATGAAAACACAGTACAACATATATATAGGACAATGTGGAATAGGGAATGAAAAACACACCATCTGGAATGGAATGGAATGCATTAGGGAATGTACAAGACAGAACAGAGAATACAGAGATTTGGTATAGGGAATGTACAAAATGAGGATGTCTTGGAATAGCCAGTGTACAATACAGAATATACAATGAGGATATTTTTAAGTAAGAATGGTACAGCACAGTATGCAGAATAGGATAGTGTGGAATAGGAAAGGCATATCACAAAAAACAGCATAACCTTATTTTGAAATAGGGCATGAGTAGTAAGGTGAACAAAATAAGGAGGTTGGGTAAAAGAAATGTACAGTCTAACATACAAAGAAAGGACCAGTAAAATCAACTAAATCCCAAGAGATTAATTTCATGTATTTACTGTAGCTATAATGTGTGTCATTCTCTTTGGTTGGGTTACATTCCTGCACAGAGGCATTTGTAAATTCTACGGGCCTCTGTGCAAGATCATAAGTTTGGCTCCTGGACTGAGATAAAAAATGTAGCACACTGCTGAAAGAAGTGAGCATGGCTTTCATTGCCCTGGATATTCGGCTTGGCCTACATAGGCACGGTTTTATAAGGTCTGAGTTGACTTTTTTTTTTTTTTATTTTAAATATTTATTGACTTTCAAAATATTAGGAAAATTTAAATCCACAATATAAATTCTTTACATTCATATATCATCAAAAAAAAAAAATTATTCACTCATTTCCCATATTTTCCTTATTTCTCCCATCCCTCCCCTTAGCAAAATCTAAAGTCACCCCCCCCCCCCCCCTCCCTTCGCCTTCCTCTCATAAGCAGTAGAAAAAGAGGCCTTAAAGGTGTTCTTATTACAGATGGGTAGGAATAAAGAGAGACCTTTTTTCATCTATTCACCTTTGATCTAAACTCTTCCCATTTTCTCCATTTGCATAGTATGTCGCTAACATATCTTCTTGAATATAGAATAATTTCTCCAATCTAACAATATGGTCCACTCTATCCAATCTTCCTCTTTTGGAGCTTCTATATGACGCCAAAACTTTGGGATCAAACCCTTTGGCTGCATGTAAAAAGTACCATACACCTGATTCTTTATATTTATTTACTGATAATTCTGTATTCTGTAAAAGGCAGGTTCCAGGATCCAAACTAATGTTAGCTTCCGTAATCTTTCTAATTTGATAAACCACTCTTCTCCAGAATACTTGTATCTTTGAACATTTCCACCCTATGTGATAGATCGTGCCTATCTCTCCACACTCCCGCCAGCACAAAGGTGATTTCTCCCCACTCATTTTATGCTCTATACTCGGTGTAATATATCCTCTTGTCAAACATTTGTAATTCATTTCCACCTCCCGTGCACTTATATTCTCGTGAACCAATCTAAATATTTTTTTCTGTTTACCCTCATCTATCTCCACCCCCAAATCTCTTTCCCATTCTATCTCACACTCTTAGCACATTCAAAGTGTACACACTCGTGCTCTCTTTTAACCCTCTATACTCTGATGGCACCCATATACTCCTTAAATTATTACCACTAAGTGAATTTTCTATTGTGACCCAACTTTTCCTTTTTAAATTATGTGTCCAATCAAATATTCTAGCCAAAATTACTGCTTTAGAATATCTCTTAAAATCTGGCACTCCCAATCCCCCTTTCTCTTTATTTATAGTTATCACTTCATAAGATACTCTAGGTTTTTTATTTCTCCAAATATAGCTTATCATCATCTTTTTAATCATTCTAAAATATATCTCTGGAATCTTAATAGGGACCATTTGAAATTTATATAGGATTTTGGGAACCACTACCATTTTTATCAGATTTATGCGTCCCAACCAGGACTGCTTTTATCCTCCTAATCTCTTTAGTGTCTCTCTAATTTCATTTAGCATTACTATATAGTTTGATTTATACAGGTTTTTATATGCCGAGGTGAGTTTTACTCCCAAGTATTTTAATTCTCTCTCTTTCCATACAAAGGGGAATTCCCCTTGTATCCCCCTTTTTTCCTTATTTGGAAGATTTATATTTAATATCTGTTTTAGCCGGGTTAATTTTTAGATTTGACATTGTGGAGTTTTTTTCTTTCCTCTGTTTTCTGTTTTGCATGACTTAAGAATCTTTTTAGCAGTTTTTTTTTTATACACACTTAACTAGTGCTTTAATGAGGAGAAAATAGGTTAAAAGGAGGTCTTTTTTTTTTTTTTTTTTTTTTTTTTTTTTTTTTTTTTTTAATAAACGTGTAGCTGTGGTAAATCGAGTTTCAACTATGTCAAATCTCTGCACAATTCTGATTTATAAATGCATGCTTAGGATTCCATTGGACAGCATGAACCGTTACAAATGTGACTGAAGAAACCATTTCTGAATGTTTATTGAATTTAAGAGTTTGTCTGCTTGGGTCTCATTTTTATTTGGTTTAGTTTTAATAATTTTAAGTTTATAAATACATATTCTGTAGAAAGTCCATACTCCTTTACAAATTGACTACTTGTGATGGGTAAAATTGCAGTACTTCTGTACTACCTCTGCACAGAATTATTAAAAAAAAATAAAAAAAAATTGAACAATGTACTAGTTTGTTTTTCTGAAGGACACGGCAGTAACGCTGTCATAGATCTGTTATTGTAAGGTACAGTATTTAATTTGTACATTAGATGTAATTTAGAATATAACCTCAACGGACCAGATTCACCGCTGAGCAAGCGGATCTGCTGACGTGTTTGTCCCTCGTGAAAGGGGCTTTCTTCTAGCACCAGAACTCACATTAAACTCTAAACTGGTAACCTGAAGAGCAAGGGTATTGAACTAAAGTTTACAGAGGTCCAATCCAGTAAAATTTCCTTCCAGCAGAGGTCCAAATCGCATGTTTGTGCGAAGACCCAGCTCTTCCTTATATCACAGTCCTGTTCTTACATCAGTGTCCTCAGTCCTCCGCACATCAGTCTTCAGTTTTCCCTTCACATTAGTGTTCTTGCATCCCCTTCACATCACCCCCACCCCCTTCACAGTAGTGTACTGAATCCCCTTTTTATAACACCCCCCCCTTTATTCACAACAGGGTCGTAAACCCTCTTTCAGATCATCACCCCCTTCCTTTTACAGTACATCACCCTCCTACAGCACCCTCACATCAAGATCCACCCCCCCCCCCCCCAGCACTGCCTCCTTTTACAGCCCCCCCACAGCACTAGCCTCCTAAGTGATTTGTTCCTTTTTTTTTTTTTTTTCTTTTTTATAGCATTCAAGTAGCGTTTTACACTGCGTCCAGTTTTACCCAGATGAAAGTTTTAAGTATGTTGTAAGTATTACTGTTTTCAAAGAATTTCTCTTTTTTTTTCACTGCAGGTTTATACTCGCTGTACTTAACTTGTAAGCATTGCTAAGAATTTGGGATTTGGAGAACATACAGCTTTCATATATTAGATTTTATTTATTTTTATTTTTTTAATACAGAAAAGTGGTGTTTAAGAATTCACCCAATCTTTGTGAGGAAATTGAACTATGTAATGGGATGTTATTGAGCAGAAAAAAAAAAAAAATTCATAGGATGTGGCAGTTAGTTAAGCGTTTACTGAACCCTACTTACCATGTCATCACACATTTTAGGAAGATGCATAGCTGAAATTCCGTGGTTAGAGCACTATAACAGGAAAAACTTTGTTTCCATTCAAAAACATTTTGTCGCAAACTGTAGTGCGTTACAAATCAAAATGACATATGATATAAATATCCCATAGCAAAACTTAAGATGTGGTTTGTAAGGATTGTATGCTATTCTTGCTATAATGTCTCATGTTGGGTTTTTCTAACTTTCCAAGTGGTCATTGCTTCAATATTGGTTTTAAACACCCTAGGCAAATATTGGCTTTAAACACCCTGGGAAGACTTTACTTTATATTGTATAATTGCAATTTCAAGAACATAACTTTTCATTTTCTGTGGTTTTCACATATTTAAAGCAAATTTTTCAGGATTACATCTTGACTATTATCATGGTTAATAACTTTACATAAGATTTAAATATTCATAAGGTGCTACATAATACCTAGACCGTTTTATGTTAATGATTGTTAATCTAGAGATCATAGCGTTTCAAAACAAATTTATATTACTTGGTAATCAGGGAAGGACTGACAACTCATGGGCCCCCGGGCAGTAAGAGATAATGGGGCCCCCTGTTCCCCCGCCTACACTCAAGGCACACCCCCACAACACTCTACCTACATATTGCAGCTCAGCTGCATAGAAGGGGCATTTAAATATTTACTGCAGCAAAGTCTGCATGAATGTTCCCAGCTTCTTTCTGTAGAAGCCACTGGGCACTTCCAGGTTTAAAGATGGCTGCCATGTTGGGGAAGTAAAAGAGAGAGGGGAGTGAGAGGGTGAAAAGGAGGAGGGGTGTGTGAGAGAGAGAGAGAGAGAGAGAGAGGGGGGGAGGAGTGAGGGAGAGAGAGGAAGGGATGAGAGAGGAGGGGTGTGTGTGTACAAATGTTTTATTATTTTTTTTTTTTTTTCAAAATGCTTTTGGGTGGCCAGTGGATAGTGTCAGTAGAGCAATGGTGTGGGTGTCAGAATTTTAAAATTTTTATTATCTAATTTTTAATTATTTTTTACAATTTATTTCTGTATTTTTTTTCACAATTATTTTGTGGGGGCAGTGGACAGTGTCAGTAGGGAGGAAGTTAGGGAGGGAATGGATAGAGGAAGAAAGGGGAGGGAAGGAAGAAAGGGGAGGAAGGAAGGAAGAAAAGGGAGTGAATAGATGAAGGTAGGAAGGAAGGAAAAAGGAGAGAGGGGAGGAAGGAAGGAGAGGGAAGGAAGGGTGGGAGGAAAGACTGAAGGGAGGGGATGAAGGAAGGGAAGGAAGAAAAGGGAGGGAATAGGTGGAGGAAGGAATGAATGAATGAAAGAAAGAAAAAATGGATGGCCAAAGTAATGAAGGTAAAGGAAGGAAAGGGAGGGAAGGGAGGAAGGAAGGAGGGAAGGAAATGAAAGGAGGGGAGGGAGGAGATGGAGGAAGGAAAGAATGAAGGGGGATGGAGGAAGGAAGAAAAGGGAGGGAATGGATAGAGGAAGGAAGGAAATGGATGGATGAAGGAAGGAAGGAAGGAAGAAAAGGGAGTGAGGAAGGGAATGGATGAAGGAAAGAAGGGAAGGAAGTAAGAGGAGGGAGGGAGGGAATGGATTAAGGAAGGAAGGAAGGAATGAAGGAGTTTGAGGGAAGGAATGAAGAAAGGGGAGGGAAGGAAAGAATGAAGGGAGGGGGTGGAGGAAGGAAGAAAAGGGAGGGGGTGGAGGAAGGAAGAAAAGGGAGGGAATGGATGGAGGAAGGGAAGGAAGGGAGAGAGGAAGGAAAGAAAGGAGAGAGGTAATGGATGGAGGAGGGAAGGAAGGAGGGGTGGGAGGAAAGAATGGAGTGGATGAAGGAAGGGAAGGAAGGAAGAAAAGAGAGGAAATGGATGGAGGAATGAAGGAAGGAAAAAAATGGATGGACAAAGTAATGACGGTAAAGGAGGGGAGGAAGGAAGGAAATGAAAGGAGGGCAGGAAGGAAAGAATGAAGGGAGGAATGGAGGGAGAAAGGAAGGAAAGAATGAAGGGAAGGGAGGAGGAAGGAAGAAAATGGAGGAAGGAAGGAAGGAAGGAAAAGGGAGGGAGGGAATGGAGGAAGGGATGAAGGGGGGGGGAGGAATGAAGGGAAGGGAAGAAAAGGGAATGGATTGAGGGAGGGAATGGATGCAGGAAGGAAGGAAATGGAGGCAAAATTAAGGAAAAGGAGGGAAGGAAGGATGGAAATGAAAGGAGGGGACGGAGGCAGGAAGGAAATGAAAGGAGGGGAGGGAGGAAAGAATGAAGGAAGGGAAGGGAGGGGGGATAGATAGAGGAAGGCATGGAGGGAGGAAGGGAGAAAGGAAGGAAGGACTGGAGGAAGGGGAGGGAAGGAGGAAATGAGGAAGGAATGATTGAAGGATGAGGAAAGGAGGGAAGGAAAAAATGAAGGGAAGGGATAGAGGAAAGAATGAAGGTAAGGAAGAAGAGGGAGGGAAATGTAGGAAGGAAGGAAAGAAGAAAATGGATGGAGGAAGGAATGAATGAAGGGGAGGGAAGGAAGGAAGAAAAGGAGGGATAAAATGAAGGAAGGAAAGAAGGGGAGGGAGGGAGAGCGAAAGGAAGGGAGAGAGGGAGGGAAGGAAGGAAAGAATAAAGGGAAGGGATGGAGGAAATGAAAGAAAAAGGGATGGAAGGAAGGAAATGGATGGAGGAAGGAATGAAGGAAGGGGAAGGAAGGAAGAAAAGGGAGGGAGGGAATGGATGAAGGAAGGAAAGAAGGGAGGGAAGGAAGAAAAGGGAGGGAAGGAATGAAGGAGGGGTGGGAAGGAGGAAGGAAGGAAATGAAAGGGATGGGAGGAAAGAATGAATGAAGGAAGGGGATGGAGGAAGGAAGAAAGGGAGGGAAGGAATGGATGGAGGGAGGAATGGATGGGAGAGAGAGAGAGAGAAGGGAGAGCGAGACAGAGAGGGAGAGAGAGAGAGGGGGGAGGGAGTGGAGTGGGAGAGAGAGGGGAAGAAATGAAGGAAATTAAAGGAGGGATGGGAGGAAAGAATGAAAGGAGGGGAGGGATGAAAGAATGAAGGGAGGGGATGGAGGAAGGAAGGAATGGATGGGAGAGAGAGAGAGAGTGAGAAAGATAGAGAGTGGGAGGGAGGGGAGGGAAAGAGAGGGGGGAGAGGGGAAGGAAGAGAGAGAGAGAGGGGGGGAGTGAGGGGGGGGGGAGAGAGAGAGGGGGGGAAGAGAGAGAGAGAAAACATTCAAAAGCATCACAGAGCTGCCGGCTGATCTGGACAGGGAGGCAGAGCAGATCCTCTCTCCTCTGCTCTGCCGTGGAGGATGGGGGGAGGGGCTGGACACTGTCAGAGAAGATGAGGCATCAGAGACCTGTGAGGGGGGGGAGATGAGGAGCACAGAGGGGGGGCCCAGGAGGGAAATCCGTTGCACAGTCGGGATAATCGGTGCAGTGCAGGGACAGTGACAGCCCCGATCTCCCTGCATGGATTTCAGCAAGGCAGCTGGAAGCCTCCCCTCCCGTCACCCGACTCACTCTGCCACCACATGAAGTGACAGGTGAGCTACTTCTGGGTCGAGATCTGAGACTGTCTCCTCCTCCGCTCCCCACACTGTCACTGGACAGTGATCCTCTCACGGGCCCCCTACTGACCCCGGGCCCTTGGGAAATGCCCGAATGGACAGTCCACCTCTGTTGGTAATATGTCTGAACCACAGAATAATAACTCATCTGCATGTTTGGATTATCATGTTATATATACAACTATTATCTATAAAACAAAATTTTATTAAGCATTTGCCCATGTTACAAATAAGTATATTTTCTGTTTGGGAAAAGTGCAATGACCATTCAGTAGGCACAATATTGTTGGTTTAAAAAATTAAAGCAACTTATCAAAGGGTACAGAAAACAAAATGACCCTGCAGGTTTATGGTGTCCACTATTCATTGTCAAATGCTACTTTTAGCTTTCTTGCATGGTATTCTGATCTGCTGTTGCAAAGCAAATGGCAACATAGAACTTGTGAGTTTTTGAAACACCAGTTTCCCACCCTCCTGCCGGCCATGATGCAGTGCTGGTAAATGTTTATGAAGTGTGATCGATATCACATGAGCTGATGAGTGAGGGGACGTGCCTATCCATATGAAAATATAGCTTTCTGAAAACCTTAAGTTACTGTTTATGATTGGAGGATGCTTGTTGGGACACTGCAGGGTCACTTTCCTTTTTGTAATCCCACAACAGATGTATATTTTCTTTAATTTATTATGCTGAACATGGGCAAGGTGTGTGGGTTTTTTTTCTTTAATTTGTTTATTTTACTAGGCAGTATGTCTATTTAATAGCAGTTAAATTTAAAGTGGTTGTAAGTGTGTGTGTTTTGTTTTTTTTTAATTAAAATACCAAATATAGTAGACTTATCTGCTCTGTACAATTGTAATGCACAGAGGGGCCTCCAACATCTTCTTTTGGGATCCCCACGCCAGCATTTAGTCTTTTCCTCAACCATAGGAAATGCCTTCCTATGAGGGTGCATGTGCAGGCTCACTCCTGAGCCAGGATGTGTGCGCCCATAGACACACATAGCATGTCTTGGCTTCACACCCCCGTTCCTCCTCAAAGGATTTGATTGACAGCAGCAGGAGCCGATGGCTCCCATTGCTGTCTCTGTACCTCTGAGGGCAGGGAGGTCGATCCAGCGCTGCTGCAGCTGGCCATAATGCTGGATCAATACAGGACTAATTGCTAATTATTTAGGGATGCAAGGGGCCGATACATTTACTAGGACATTTTTACCTTAATACAGGAAATGCATTGAGGTAAAAAAATCTGTTGCCTTTGCAAATGCTTTAATATCTTAAATCGACTGGTCTCTGTATAAAAAAAAAAAGGCAACAAATCTCTTATTAAATGTTTCATTACATGTAGTAAGAAAAAATATGTTCAGTTCATGAGCTGCTAAAGTGGGAAACCTCATAGTAGTGGTTGGGGGTCCCAGTTTTCTTTGTACATAAGGGCCTGTGTTGAGGGGCTTTTGTTTGTGTCACATGGGTTTTTCTGAAAAAAAAAAAAAAAACTGCTAAAATGCAGGTCAAATGCATCTGTCAAAGAATTCTGAATAATCTCAGAAGTATTTCAAACTGATGCTATCAGTGCAAGTCCTTGGTTTTAAAAGTTCTCTTCTGGTACTTCAGTGTTTGGGCACATTTGGCATGTCTCATCTTTATTTGTAGTGAAAGATAGTAGCATATGGGGACAATTGGCTTCCATTGTAATAATGAATTAAAAGTGTCTTATTAATTGAGCTGGAAAACTTACAATTTACTTTTTTTTTTCTGAAGCTAGAAGTTGCTCTTGAAATTTCTCTTGCTGGTGGAGTAAGGCAAGTATCATTTTTTAAATCTGTGTCTTCTTTTAGTCCAGTAGTTGTCTACAGTGAAATGACCAGCGGAAACAACATACCATTTACTTTCAAGCTACATTCACACCTTTACATTTTTGTGCAGTACCTATAAGGCACATTTGTAATGCGCTACATTAGGGCAACAAAGCTGAACCTAGGGAGATTGTCTTATTTTGGTTTTTTTATTTTGTATTTTTCTTTGAATGGTAGACAAACATCTGCAGCAGATGGAATAATAATGAAATGTAATTTACTTTGCTTATTTGAATAGAAACCTGAGTCCTCGAGGCTAATGATAACTTGCTAGCTGTTTAACTGGCATGCCGAGCTTCTTCCTTCAGTGCTTTAAGTCAATGAGCCAGACAGACCAAGCATACAGCTAAGAATTTTGGACTTTTATCATCATCTTATTTGTTCCAGGTCAGGAGACTTAGAAAGTGTTAAAGCCAATGGGTCAGCATGGGACTGCCAGGCAACTGTCACAGCCAGAAGGAGATCAGCAATGACAGCACTCTTATTTCTCTCATGTCATGTTTCCTTAAGGCTCTTGGAGCTAATGCGTGAAAAGTTTGCAAACAGAAAATTTCTTGCTGCTTATAGCAAACAATTAGAATTGTTTAGTTAATAGGCCTGAACTACAAAATTTTAAAAGTTGGATCCTGATTTGTTGCTGCGAGCTGCAAGATGTTTTTTAATCACATACTTTTTCTACCTCCGCCTCAGGTGCTTGCCATACACTTATCAATGTGATTTATACTGTAACTTGGATAATAGCTACCTAGAAATTAAGTATGCTAAACAAAATAAAGATGGTTTTTATATAAAAAAAAAAGATCAGCCAGTCTTTATGGAAAAATCCAGTCAGATTCAGCTAGTTCAATCCTTTTTCCTTTGTGCTGTCAAATGGTAATTAACCAAAAGATCATTTTAAAAGATCAAGCCTAGAACTGATTTAGTGATTTGTTGCACATATATTGCACATATATTCTGAATCAATTTCACTTTGAATATTTTTTTTTCGGAGCAACATAAAAATTCTTCCTAAGCCACCTGTCTTATTCAAAGTCTAAGCACGCCATGTGAATATGGTATTAAGGGCAACCTGTTGCTGTAATTTTAAAAGAAGAGGGGGGAATACTTGCCTCTCATGCTCCACAGGCCTCTCCATTCCTGAAAAAGTACCCTCTAAAGTCTGCTGGGAGGCCTATGCTTCTATCACTTTTGGGATGGTTTATCACCTGGGTCCCCTGCACACTCACTGGTTAATCCTGTTGACCTGCACATCACTGCAGGAGACAGTAGTGATGAGGAGGTCAGCAAGAGCAACCAGAGGGAGCCACGAGGGACCCCAGCGAAAGACATTACCAGAAGTCATTACCAGTTTCCCACCAGACTTCGGGGTACGATTTCTCAAGAACCGAGCCAAATTCAAGGGCAGACGAGGTACGCATTCCATATCTTACTTTACAAGCAGTGCTTGACTTAAAAAAAAAAAAAAAAAAAGTTAGTAAAGCAGAAGGGCCCCTTGAAACTGGCCGTTCATTCTCTAAAGTACTCTTAAAATCCATTTGTTCAGTAAATTAGTTTGTATACTGAAGTAAACGCAGCTAGTTTGCTTCTTTAACCATTACTTTCACAGTAATGGTATATTCTGTGACTACCAGTTTCAAGATACAGTATGTAGTGTGTCAGGAATGGACTGGCCAGCAATAGTGGGACTCATCTGCCTTATGAGCTGCAGTACCAGGGCTGGCCAGCGGGTGCTCCCAGCAATCAGAGACTCAACCTTGCAGCCAGTCAAACACCTGGAACTAATTATACTGGTGTATTTAAGGGACATTCAGACCTGCAGACTCTGCCTTGGTATGTGTTTTTCCTGGGCCCTGTATCTTGTAAACCTGCATTCCTGTTCCTGTCTTGTTGCTGACCCTGCTTGATTCTGACCTCTGCTGACTTCTCCTGTTCTGATCCCTGGCTTGTGACCCTGACCATCCCTCTGCCTGACCTTCTGTACCATGCTGCCCGCTACCTGCTGAACCTGGCCTGTGACCCCGACCATTCTCCGCTTGCTCCCCCTGTACCTACCTGCCCGATTGATATTGACCCGGCCTGCCTGACGACGCTTGCATTGTATGTACTGTTATTTGTGGGTGGTTGGTTTGGTTTGTTTGCACTGTGTTATGTTTTAGTATTGCACTGCGTTTATGTTTGTATTGTTAGTGTTAATAAATTATATTGTTTATAACATATCTGAAGTCTGCATTTCCCTGCGTCAGTCACATACCTCTGGTCACACCCGGGAGCCCTGACATTACACCAAGGCCAATCCTGACCAGAAGTGGCTGCACAGGGAAGGCATCTTGGTTTGTTGATGGGAAGGATGGATCTTGATGAGGTTGTGTATTTATATCTGCTAGTGTTTGATGACAGAGAGTATGCTTATCAAACTCTGAAGGAGTATCCCCGGGATGAACTGCTAGAATGTATACGGCTCACTCATGTTCTAGTAGATCAGGGAACAGAATTCTCTGAGGTGCAGCCATTGATTCAGGTTTGTGCGGAGTTGGTTTCATCTGGTACCCCCCGAATGCAGGGATGAATTTTTGCCGCCATTTACCGACCTACCGACCAGGTAGAGTCCCTGGTGTGGTTATTAGAGGATGATGTGGATTGCTTCTTGGAGCATTATGCTGCATGTTCACCACAGATACTAAGAGATTGTATAAACGCAGTGCAGTCTTTGGTCAGACAGGCTTTGTGTAAGCCCAGCTTTGTTCAACCATACTGCAGACATGGACAGATTTGTTGCACCCAGCCTCAGTCAGCCTACAAAAACCCAGTCCTGCTTCTAATCTATTTCCTCAAAGCTCTATTCCTGCATTCCCAACAGCTCCTCCTGCCCTGCTATCTACCGCATGTCAGTACCCTGTTCCCACTCGCTGCACCTATCCTGCCTTTAACCCTGTAAAAAAGCCCTCTGTAGCAACTGCTCCCTCCTCTGTTCCATCCTCCAGCTCTTCTCTGTCTCCAGCTGCTCCATTCGTTTGCAGACCTGCGTTTACTTGCAGTGCTCCAGTAGTTAAAACCAGAAAAAAAGCGAAAATTCTTTCCAACCAGTACCATCCTGCCAGTATCCAAACCGGTGAGCCTGCCGTCTGAGAACCTGCCTTCCGTGGTTCAGCCTGATGCCTCTCTTCAGCCTGATGCCTCTCTTCAGCCTGATGCCTCTCTTCAGCCTGATGCCTCTCTTCAGCCTGATGCCTCTCTTCAGCCTGATGCCTCTACTCAGCCGGATGCTTCTACTCAGCCGGATGCCTCTACCCAGCATAATGAACTGATCCAGCCTGATGATCCTATTAGGCCAGTTGACTCGATGCCCGCTGTTGATCCAGATGATCCGGTACCTGATCCGGTGCCCGCTGTCGTGCCAGTTGACTCGATGCCCGCTGTTCCGCCAGTTGACTCGGTGCCCGCAGTCTTGCCAGACGACTCGGTGCCCGCAGTCTTGCCAGACGGCTCGGTGCCCGCAGTCTTGCCAGACGGCTCGGTGCCCGCAGTCTTGCCAGACGGCTCGGTGCCCGCAGTCTTGCCAGACGGCTCGGTGCCCGCAGTCTTGCCAGACGGCTCGGTGCCCGCAGTCTTGCCAGACGGCTCGGTGCCCGCAGTCTTGCCAGACGGCTCGGTGCCCGCAGTCTTGCCAGACGGCTCGGTGCCCGCAGTCTTGCCAGACAGCTCGGTGCCCGCAGTCTTGCCAGACGACTCGGTGCCCGCAGTCTTGCCAGTTGACTCGGTGCCCGCAGTCTTGCCAGTTGACTCGAGCCCACTGTCATGCCTGGTGACTCGGTGCCCGCCGCTCCGCCTGGGGGCCCGAGACCTGTTGCCCCGCCTGGGGGTCCGGCGCCCGCCGCTCCGCCTGGGGGCCCGATGCCCGTCGCCCCTCCTAGGGGCCCGATGCCTGTCGCCCCGCCCGGTGGCCCGGTGCCTGCTGCTCCGCCCGGTGGCCCGCTGTCTGCTGCTCCGCCTGGTAATCCGACGTGCCTCTGCCCGGAGTCCAGCCCGACGTGCCTCTGCCCGGAGTCCAGCCCGACGTGCCTCTGCCCGGAGTCCAGCCCGACGTGCCTCTGCCCGGAGTCCAGCCCGACGTGCCTCTGCCCGGAGTCCAGCCCGACGTGCCTCTGCCCGGAGTCCAGCCCGACGTGCCTCTGCCCGGAGTCCAGCCCGACGTGCCTCTGCCCGGAGTCCAGCCCGACGTGCCTCTGCCCGGAGTCCAGCCCGACGTGCCTCTGCCCGGAGTCCAGCCCGACGTGCCTCTGCCCGGAGTCCAGCCCGACGTGCCTCTGCCCGGAGTGCCGCTGCCCGGAGTCCTGCCCGGTGTGCCAGTCTTTGATATCCCGCCAGTTACCAGACCCGGGCGGTGGAACATTTTGCCCAGCTAGGACTGTTTGGAGCGTCCTGAGGCCGCTACTTGATGGGGGGGTACTGTCAGGAATGGACTGGCCAGCAATAGTGGGACTCACCTGCCTTATGAGCTGCAGTACCAGGGCTGGCCAGCGGGTGCTCCCAGCAATCAGAGACTCAGCCTTGCAGCCAGTCAAACACCTGGAACTAATTATACTGGTGTATTTAAGGGACATTCAGACCTGCAGACTCTGCCTTGGTGTGTGTTTTTCCTGGGCCCTGTATCTTGTAAACCTGCGTTCCTGTTCCTGTCTTGTTGCTGACCCCGCTTGATTCTGACCTCTGCTGACTTCTCCTGTTCTGATCCCTGGCTTGTGACCCTGACCATCCCTCTGCCTGACCCTCTGTACCATGCTGCCCGCTACCTGCTGAACCTGGCCTGTGACCCCGACCATTCTCCGCTTGCTCCCCCTGTACCTACCTGCCCGATTGATATTGACCTGACCTGCCTGACGACGCTTGCATTGTATGTACTGTTATCTGTGGGTGGTTGGTTTGGTTTGTTTGCACTGTGTTATGTTTTAGTATTGCACTGCGTTTATGTTTGTATTGTTGGTGTTAATAAATTATATTGTTTATAACATATCTGAAGTCTGCGTTTCCCTGCATCAGTCACATACCTCTGGTCGCACCCGGGAGCCCTGACATAGTGATTGATATAGTTATAAGTGACAACTGTTAGTTTAATATCAAAAACATTTTTGTTTATTTTAGCTTGGTCAATATAGGTTATGACCCCCCTGAAGAAAGAGGAAAGGGAAGAGTAAATGCTTCAAATTTACAAGTGTTTACAAATCAGACAGGTAAGATTAAAAAAAAGTGCACAAACGAATAAAGAAAATATGCTTTAAAATTTTAGCATATAATATGATTCCAAAAAAGTTAGACAATATGGACTAGTTCATCCAGATTGATAATTGCATTTGCAGGAATGAAAATGAATATTTACTCCTGATGTATGGTTATGTGATGAGTAGACTGCCAAAAAATAGTTACTTTCATAATTTCTACCCTTGATGGGTCATTTGTTTGAAAACAAAACTATCTCTTTAACCACTTGCTGACCGCCAAACATAAAAAAACACCCTGGCTACAAGTGGTTATAATGAGCTCATGGTTGCAGCAATGAACTTGGCATCGTTTTTTACAGCCAGCGATCAGCTGTTCAGTTCAAGTGACTGGAATGGCTCCACAACCACCTGTACACTTTTACTGTAGTGAAAAAAGGCAGTTTCTCTGGAAAGCTGGAGACTCGGGCACACCAGATTCCCTCTGTGACTAATGAAGCCAGAAATGACGATTTTATCACTTCCGGTTTCAGTGCTGTAATTCCTGGGCTGCTCCAGTCAAGGAAGCAGCTAATCTTTCACAATCTGTGCGTTGAAGAGCAGGGTAGACAAAGCTATCACGTTTGGGGCTTGTTAGCCCCCTTGTGATAGCAAAAGAATTAAATGAAAAAAAAAAAAGTAATACAGTAAATATTGTAAAATAAAAAAATAAAAGCACCCCCATCCCCTTGCGTATAAGTCCCCAAGTGTATGTAAACAGTGATTACACCACATATGTGAGGTATTGGCACGAATGTCGGAGTGAGGGCAATAATTCTAGGGACATAATTCATGATTATTTCTATACGTTTTCTTTATATAGTAAGTATTTCTGTATATTTCTGTAATAAGTTTTAGAATTATTTTCATGAGAGCATGCAGTGGACTCTTGACATGTTTGGTATCCATTTACACAACCCAACATCATCTTTAATAGTTCACCAAACATTCAGTACTATATTGTGTTTTCATGCCCTAAAGTTCAACGGCCACCATTTTATTCTCCAGGGCTTCTGCTTTCAAAAAATGTTTGGATGTTTTAATTAATTTTCTTTAAAACATTTCTGCGGACATCAAGTGGTAAATTGAGTTCTTTTGCACCTGCTCCCTTACTATTTATTTTAGTGAAAATTACTCAAGCTGTTTTACATGTATTGGATACATTCAGAAAACGTTTGGATGTGCTTGTTATTGAAAATGTTAGTGACACAAGCGTTCACACACACGTTGAACTATGTGGAGTGGTGTTTTTATTCAACCTTACCAACTTAGAATACAAGTATAAATGTAACAGTTACGGAATATAATGGTGCTATATAAAAGATAACACTAAAAAAGTTTTGTCCTCCTTGAAATGAATTCTTCATATCTAAATTTAGTAAACTTCTAAAAGAACAGTAGTGTTGAACAAATGTCCTGCTGTGGGCCCCAGCACCACCTATGGCCACAGTTACAACTTTTATTCTGGTGATACTTTTATATAGGTTTATACAGGATTTGTGTTTTAGTTCAGTTTTGCCCCTTTTTATACGGTGTATATGTAGATCTACTTCCATGATATTTGATGTAGATTCCTGTAAAGTAGAAATGTATTTGTAATGTCCTTTTGTGATCAGCTAAATAACCATTTTTTTTTCTTTATTAAATAGGTGGTTTGTGTCTGTTTTACTATCAACCACCAAAAGAATCACAAGACATCACTTACACAGTAACATTTTTACATAAAGGTGATAAAAAGAAAATGTTCAATATTCAGTGTTCTAAAACTGTGCTTACAATGTCTAATGCCAGATTTTCACTGTGTGGTAATGTCTTTGTCCCTAATATTTTTTTTCTTGAATAAAATTCCTGCAATATACAGTAAATACGTCTTTCGCATGCATCAGATGAGCTTATAGTCCAATGTTCTAAGTCACACAAACACAAGACAAAATATGTTCTTGCCACAGTCACACAAAACACAAGACAAAACATGTTCTAAGCACATTAAAGCAGAAATCATGTGTTTTTTTTTTTTTTTTTTTTCTTTAGGGTATGACTGAAACTAGAGTATTTAGAGGAAACCCACAGACCACAGAGATCTTACAAAAACTAAGCATAATATACACAGGCCTATTCTGCAGCTGTGAGATTTTAATAAAACAATCAAAACATAGCACATTTATTTAACAAGCTCAATTGAAAAGGTCATGGATAGTGTAGTCTTTGTTTAATTCTTAAGAAATCCAAGTGTCCATCTTTTAAGACAATTTTCAGTACTAATATTAAAGGTGTATGTAAAAGTTAACATATTTTATATTAGTCATATACTGTATGTACATGCTTCTTTTTATATGAAAAATATATATGCAGACATTTATTGCATCACTTCCTCTAAACCTTGCAAGATTTGGAATCACAATTCTCTCTCAGGTTATTACCTGACATAAAATTAATGATAAAAAGTACATAAAAAAAAAAAAAAAAACAAAAAAACCCCGTTTGCATGAATATGCAAGTGATACTTGCACACTTCAAGTCTTATTCAGTCTTTAGTGAGCTAGCTTTGGTGTGATTGCAAAGATCTAGTTGCAGCTTAAGATTTTCCAAGTGGCCAGAAGGGAGTTCCTGAGAAACATAGTCCTATTGATTCTTTGTAGTCTTACATAAATGGTTTTAGTGGGGTTTTTTTTTCTCTTTTTCATAAATTTTTTCAGACTGAAGTGAATAATGAAACATCCAGCATTACACAGCAGAAATAAAAATGTAGTGCAATTATATAAATAAAGGCAGAAACTTAAGCTCGATAGGCGTGAACAATTATGTACAGAGCTATACAGCTTAGGGATGCATAGTATTCAAAAATTACCATGTGAGATACAAAGATATTATACTGATGTCTCAGTATTATCAGTCTGCATTTTGTAGTTGAGTTAAAGGGAATGGTATTATGAGGGAAAAAGGTGAAGTGTGTATAATGGTCCATCCATATTGCAGAGAGTATAAAGGTAGGAATGGTGGAGATATCAAATTTTAGTGTTTAACCCTCTAGTTTATAGTTAAAGTTCAAATAAGTTTGGGATTTTCAGAGCATGCACTCTTTTATTCTTGGGCCAACTCTTCTGAAATATTTATTTATGTATTTAAAGTGAGTTTTTTTTTTTTTCTTATGACTTTTATATTCATGTTTTTTTTTTTTAATTGTTATAAAGAATAAAATTATAAATATTATCTTTCTTGAAGTGAAACTGTATCTGAGCACCACAAACCAAAAATGCTATTTATGCTTAATATTCAAAACACACTCCTCCATCCATGTGTAATGGATTTTCTGTGTGTCTGTATGCTTTTGCATTCATTATATGTAAACTATTGGATAGATCTTTAATCAAAGAGCTTGTGTTTTTTTGTTTATAGGATGTAGCAAAACTTTTAAAATTGCAGAACGAATAAAAGACACTAGCAATTGCAAGCTCAAGAGATTATCTTTTATAAATCTAGGTAAGAACAAAAATAGCATAAACTTGTAGCCAGAACATATAACATTTGCCATAGCTTTGCAGGTTTTTATTTTTGATTAGCCTAATTCCCTGTTTTCTGAAGAAAAAAAAAAATAAAATAAAGATCCCTTCATCAGATTTATACATTGCAAGGACTTTAGCAAACATCAGTTCAGAGACCCAATGGTTTGCTGTTTTTGTTCAGATTTATAGACCCTCCTCCTTCCTCCAGTAATTTTTCTTAGGACTACTTTGAGCTCTGAGCAGATAGAGAGAGAGATAGATGGAGAGAGAGAGATTTTTAAGTTCAGCTGAAAAAAATTGTTGCAGGGGGCTGTTGCTACATCAACAGAAAACTAGGCAAGGGCATAGGCACCTGGACAAAACAATTGCCACCATAGCGGGCCCAGCTGTCTGGTGCCACAAGCTATATAAAACAAAGAATGTAATCAAATTGCCTTTATTATCTTACCAAGTCCACAAAGTACTTGAACTTTGGTGTCTTGGTAAGATGATAAAGGTAATTTGATTACATTATTTGTCTATATGGTTTGTGGTACAAGCCATGTGAGCCCCACTATGGTGGCTGTTTAGTTTTCTGTTGTTTTTATAGGCTTTAATGGCCATCGGTCTACACTTATAATTATAGTGAGTTGGCAAACCACATTGATTCAGATCCCTATGATTTTTATTTATTTGGGGCTTTGCTATCTGCATTGTCACTGCTGATTCACAAGCCCGCTTGTCAATCTGCATCTGTACATACCTAGTCCTGCCCTCTGTATTTTGAATGGGTAGTACTGCATCTAAAAACCCTCCCACTGTGAGCTGCAATGCACAATGGTAGAAAAAAAAAACCTTCATTGTGCAGCTCCCTCAGCCAGCCCTAAAACCTACCTGAGTTCCATCACAATCCATCTCTGCCCAAGAACCTCAGCCCTCCAGGAACACCCCCTCTTCATTGGCTGAGACAGCAGCTGAGATGATCACAGCCAATTAGCCAATGAGGAGAGAGCAGGGTCTGGCCCAAGCCACAATCTGTATGTGCAAATGGACACTCAGAGCAGCAGCTCGGGAGCGAGCCTGCTTGACTGCTTGCTATAGCACTTGGCAGGAGGGAGAGCCCAGGAGCGGCAGTGCAGGACCTGAGAAGAGGAGGATCGGGGCTGCTTTGTTCAAAACCACTACATAGAGCAGGTAAGCATGCCATATTAGTTTTTTTTTTTTAATTGCCTTTTAATATTTTAGTTGTAATTAACATGCTACATATTCATGACATTGCCAAATCTCACTACAAATCTGAGACTAGCAGTCTGAGGCAACAATGCCTTAGACCTCACACTGCAGATATATAGTTAAGACTGAAGGCACAGCAGTGCCTAGGGACCTACGTGTACCAAAAAGTGCACTAAAAATTTTCAGGTGGTATTAGGTTTTTCAGGCTACTGCTTTGGCACAATTACAGTTTTCTCACAAATCTGCTTTTTGAGTTCAATTCCACTTAAGGCCACCAATCATAGTAATGGGCTAATAAAAATTAAGCTTATAAATGGCAGACTGGCACTCAGTGCTGTTGTAAGACTTTGTTGGTGTAGACCAGGGCTTGAAATTTCTACTAGCCTGCTAACATTTGGCTAGTGAAAATAACGTGGGCGAGTGTGTCCCAGACGCTGCATCGGAGGGTGGGGGATGGGTGCTACCAGCAGCACCAACCTGCCCCGAGCACTCTGTTGAGGGGGGCGCACTGCTGGTGCCACTCCTCAGTGACCGGAGTGATCACAGTTTCACTCCTGTCACAGGGAGCAGCTGCTGACACTTGCTGGAGGGAGGATTAGGCTTTCTCCTCCCTCTTGCCTGAGGGGTCAATAGATAGCCAGCACTAAGGAGTGAAGGCAGAGTGTCCTTCTCTCCCCTTGTCATGTGACTTATCACATGACCGAAGTAGGGAAAGAAGGAGAAGCTGCGTTCACGAGAAGAGGTTACACTTATGGGGACACCTGATGTAAAGGGGGTCTCTGATGGGAACACCTTATATAAAGGGGGACTCTGATGGGGACACCTGATGTAAAGGGGAACTCTGATGGGAACACCTTATATAAAGGGGGACTCTGATGGGGACACCTGATGTAAAGGGGGACTCTGATGGGGACACCTGATGTAAAGGGGGACTCTGATGGGGACATTTATTTTCATTTTAGGTTTACATTGTTTTATGTTAACCACTTGCCCTTTAGACTCGAATAAGCTATTGCTGTTATGTTTAAACTGACATAATTAAGCTATGTTATAATTGCTGTTTTTTATATTTTGAACTCTTTATTCTAAAGAAAAATGTAATTTCATAAGCTTTAAGGGGGGGGGTTGGGGGGGGATTGGCCTGGAGTGGGGTTGGAGGTGGACCTGGGCAATGTTTGGTGGGGCAACTGGTGGAGAGTAAGGTTTTTGCCTTGCTAGTAGGTCTAGACTTGAAATTTTAAGCCCTGGTGTAGACCATGTAGACCATGATTTTATTTCTAATTTCAGTTTTTCTTTCTAGGTACCTATGTTGCTGTTTATTTGCCTGATCATTTTTTCCACTTGATAAACACAAAATATCCAGACTTGATGTGTTATCACTTGTTTTTATCTGGTGAGTGCTGGTCTATCTATTATACATCGTTTTCAGCAGAGAAGCAGAACAAAGTACTGCAGGAAAATCATATCCTGGCCATAAACTGATCAAAATTTGGTGAATGGGTCAAATTTCGATCCATGTATGGGCAAGCTAGTTGTACTGAATTTGGTCTATCATTTGACTTCAGTACAACCATCCTGCTTTTTTGTTTTTGTTTTTTTTTATCAATTACGATGGCAGCTATAGCTGCAAGCAGTGATCCTTGCATTCAGATGGCTGGGAAATCTCCAGCAGTCAGAATACAATAGCTGCATGGGAGAGATTCCCCCATCACCCCTGAATGTATTGATGGGGGAATCGAGCAATTCTCTTTCCTAGAAAATTGGTTAATGTATGGCCAGCCTTACTGTTGGAGTCTGACCTGTAAATAGTTAGTGGGTGCTTTAAACCTGCAGTGCTCATCCAAAACTGAAGTATCTCCTTTTGCATTTTTTGAGTTAACCCTGGAATGTTCAGATAATCAGATGATTTTGTTGCATCCATTTACTTCTAAGAAGCTAATGAATACCAAAATCTGAATTTTTTTTTTTTTTTTTTTATTGTTAGGCTATGATTGATCCCTAAGGGCTTGTTCATGTGTGTGTTAATTATGCAGAATGAAGCAATGTTCATTAATACGCCTCTAGTATTTTTCATATGTTAACAAATCCACATGAAAGCTTGTCAAATGAAAGTGTTTTTCCAAGGGGGAAGTGCTTGGAGGGGAGGTGATATAAGAGAAATGATCAGCTTTGAGGAGTGGTTAGTCTGTAGTGCGATAAGCAGACATTTTTCTAATTTCTCTGCAAGATGGTCCAGCTCAGGATGATCATGGAAAGATTGTCAGTCACTTGCAGACACTCAAACTTGTTAAGTCATGTGCTTGCACCAACACTTGTTGGTGAAGTCCTGTGCTGGCACCATCACTGACTGACACAAAAAGCTTTGCCACAGGCAACATTGCTCAATGCATTCTGAGATACAGGAACTTTTCACTGCCTTTTACTCAGCTAACATTTTATAATCACATCTATAGTGTTTACAGCGAGTTATTGAAGCAGTTACAGATTGCTACCATTGAAATTAATGGACGCGACTGATAAGCAGCATGGCTCCTGAAAATGATATATTGCTTAATTTTTAATACACAACCGAAAGTTACTATACCTGTGCCTGCTGCACTGTGTGGTGCCCATTGTAATATCTGTGGCAGGCATTGAAGGGCTGTTAGGAGGCTTTAAAACTGCTTAAATGCGACTTAAACACTGGGTATGGATGCATGTGTGAATGAGCCTTAACCCTTTTGCCGCCTGGTCCTGTACTGTTATGCTGTCTGCGTCCCATTGGGTAATTTCTACTGGTGATCATTTTTACGGAGTCAGAAAGCGATGAGTGTCAGCCAAGCATCTGTCATTCATGCACATAAGGAGACTGTTGCATCAGTAATGCTTAGGTCTTGTTCACACTGGGCGTACAATACTGTGCATCTGTGTGGGTAAACGCTGCCATGCACCGGTGTAAAGGTGTTCATGACGTCTGCTGGGACACAGTAGCTGAACGGACATAGCCGCTGTGTCCCAATATGACATCTGTGTGGGTGCGGTCCCCAAACGCAAACAGGTTGAGTCCAAAGACCTGCACCTACCCAGATGTCCTATCGGGACACAGCAGCTATGTCCATGCAGCCACTGTGCCCCAACAGACATCAATGGAACTGCCTGCACCATGTAACACCCACACCAGGTATGGTGTTGTATGCCCAGTGTGAAAGAGGCCTTAGGAGTACATGATCTAATATTTTATAAAAATGTGAGCATTTAAATTAAATCCTGCAGTGTCCATTAGCCCAACAGCTGTTTCTTGTCCCATGCCTCTGCATCTACGGTATTTCATGATCTTGTTGCTTAGTGCTTTTATGGTTTTCAAGAGGAGAAGAAACCTTTGGATTTCTAGTTTGGATGGAGTTTCCTTTTGCGATATAGCATGCATTAACTTTTATTGAATTGCTCTTTATTTTGCAATCTGAAATATTTCCACACATTTTTGATCATTAGTCATGTTGATGTGAAACATAAAGGGAATTTGGTAAAGCATTTACAACACTTTTCTGGCAGTATAGCCTATTAAAGTCCTTTCCAACACCACATCACCTTTTAGATAGGTGATGGATTCAGGTAGTTCTTGTGCCACTTTCACAATGTGTTGCTTTGGCTGTGACAAATTCAAAAAGAGTTACCACCAGTTCATAGATAACGAAAAAATATCTTTGGCCTTTATTGGCGCAAAAGGGAACACACATTGCAATATGTAAAGACATGGATACATTTTATTTCAAACAGCTCATAAAACCACATGTAGACCTATTACAGGTCATAAAAACAAGTGCCTGTGTACAATGTTGAGTTATCAATGGGTGTGTACCAACTGCTACAAATGAACCACAGTCAAATACTTTTTTTAAACTCTTTTCTTGGTCATATCAACATTTGTAGCCTGTGGAGATAGGTCCTCATAGGTTAATTCATTTCTCAGTTTGGTTCTTCAGGAAATATTGAGGATAATGGATTATGTAAATACAAGAACAATATTATAATAATACAATATGCAAGATTTGTTAATCAAATGGTCCACACTTTAAAGTGGTTGTAATTGCTGAAGGATTTTTTACCTTCATGCATTCTATGCATGAAAGTAAAAAACCTTCTGCGTGCTGCTCCCCCCCCCCCCCCCCCACAGCTTACCCTAATACTCACCTAGGCCCCCTCTCGATCCAGCAATGTGCACGTGAGCCAATGAGGAGAACAGGGGTGGGGCTCAGTGTCTTATGGACGCATAGAGCAGGGCTTGGGAGCGAGCACAAACCAGTGCCCCCATAGCAAGCAGCTTGCTATTGGGGGCACTGGTCAAGGGGGGGGGGGGAGCCAGGAGCGTCGGTGGGGGATTCGAGAAGAAGAGGATCGAGGCTGCTGTGGCAAACCATTGAACAGAACGATGTTTTTTCCTGTTTTTTGTTTTGTTTTTGTCTTAAAAAAAAAAAAAAACCTTTAATATCACTTTAAGTCTGTAACTGTGGCAACCATGTAGGAGACTCTTGGGGCGGCCACCAAGACAGAGTAAGGAGCTAGGAAGAGGCAACGTGTATAAAACTCACCAAAAGAGTTTTTATGCACGTATGGTATGAACGAGGCCTGAAGGTTAATTGATCTTAAGATATTGACCCTGGAGTATGGCAAGAGCTCAGGATTGTATGGAAATGTTCCAGAAATAGTTTTTACCACCCAAAAGATGCCCACAAGCCGTTGTACACCTCTGTAAACCTAGAAAGAAAACGTGTCCGTACCGGATTGGCTTCAGAATAGACAAGTATAAGCATCCTTTCTTTCACAGGGTAGATAGAATAGGCTTAGAATGGGGGTGGAGTAGGTTTAGTCTTGGTTGAATTTTGACTGAACTTTCACTTTAATTCTATACCAGAGCATGTGTCTGCCATCTAGTGGACCTATGTTATTACATGTTCTAGCATGCCACGTATTTCCTAAGCATGGGAGGCTATTGTAATTAGATGGGCTGGAATAAAATATATATGCTTCAGCGAAGGGTAACCAAAATCCATCCTATTCTGAGTTTTGTTTGGAGTTGTTGTCACGATTATTTTGAGTAATGATTTATATTGTTTGTTTTACTAGTTTTATAACACCCACTTGCTGCACATTTAGAGGCGATAACAGATCAAGCCAACGTACTGTGACGAGTTACTACTAATGGAACATTTCTCGACAATCTTGGGCCATTGCCATATACTAGGGTCAATATATTAAAGGATAAGTTCACGTTTGGTAAAATGGTACCATGTTACACCCTAAATACGGGTGCAACATGTAACAAGAGCACTCGATATTCTCCCCGAACCCACTGTCATAATTCATAAATAGCCCAGCCCACACAGCTGCATCATTCATTTTTGGTTTCCTGTGAATGAGTGAACTACAAGTATCAGCCATTGCGCCAGACAGCTTGTAGTTCTCAATGAACTGTAAGGGTGCAGGTAAGCGCTCTCGTAGTTGATTGATTCCTCCTGCAGTTCAGTAACTTTCTACCTGTACAGAAGGTATGAGCAGACAGCTGACTGAGTGTCTGAAGGATTCTGGTATTGCTGATTGTGGGTGCAGTGCTTTACAGGCTGCACTGTAAAAAAATAAAATAAATAAATGCACATTTTTTTTACCTGCAAAAAGATGTGCTTTTTATTATTTAATTTTTTTTTTGCAAAAGATGAACTTCTCCTTTTAACATCAACTGATCTTTAATGTAAATGTAATGGAACCATGGCATATTAAACACACTCCTATGTTGAGGTTGTTGTGCTATCATTTATTAATTATACAATTATATTTTGACCCAAATAGAGCCACGTCGGCTATCCTTCATTGCCGCCTCTTCAACGTTCCTTTCTCTGTCTCTGTGACCTCCCCAGGGGTTTCCTACATGGTTGCCACAGATAGACTTGAGGTTTAGACCATTTTGATTAACACAAACTTGCATATTGTATCATTGTAATATTGTAGAAAATGTTTATTGGTTCTTTTTGCATTTAGTTACATCTTTAGTTATCCCCAACCACCACCCACTCTGACGGAAATATCCTGGACCTTGTCTTCTCCAACCGCTGCGCTCCCCACAACCTCACTAACACCCCCTTCCCTCTCTCTGACCACAACCTGATCACCTTCTCTATCTCCTCGTCCTCCAACGCCTACCCCTCCAAATGTCACACTACTACCAGCCGTAACCTCCGCAACCTTAACCCTGCCTCCCTCCACTCTGCAGCTGACCAACTCCACGACCGCATCCTCCCCCTGTCCTGCCCCGACTTGGCTTTGACCGCCTACAACAATGCGCTCTCAACAGCCCTTGACTCACTAGCGCCTTTAACCACACGCAACATCAGACCCCGACCGCTCCAGCCCTGGCAGACTGATCACACCAAAACCCTCAAATGACAAAGTCGTGCCCTAGAGCGACTATGGCGCAAAACCAAATCCCAACAAGCCTTCACCCGCTATAAATCTGCTGCCTTTCGCACCCCTACACCATCCTCACCTCCATGCCTTCCAAACAGGCCCTACTTCTTGACCCTCACCAAGGCCCCCACCTTCACCTATAAATCTGCCTCTCCTCTCCCTCCAAACTGCCAAACAGGCTCTCTGCCTTCAACTTCTACTTGACCCTCACCAAGGCCCTCTCCTCCAATCACTCGCCGACTCTTCAAGATCTGCCAATTCAACTCTCTACTCTCTCCACCCCACCTCCACCCAGCCCCTCTCACACAGCCCTACTCACTGCCCTTGAGATTGCCAATCACTTCAAAACCTCCAAGATTGACACAATTCGCAAGGACATTGCCGCAACTCACACGCCCTCTCACCCCATCCCTCTCACACAGCTACCCCCTTATCCCCCCTCCCCCTTGACATAACCCGCAGGGACTTCGTCGCTGCTCAAACTCTCTCCAACCCCCTTCACCCTCACTCAGCTACCCCCTCATCACCCCTCTCCCACGGCCCCACCACTGCTCTGACCTCCTCTTCCACCCCACCCTACATTCCTCATACTGAAGCTCCCCCCACACTCCGCACCTTTGACCTTACTACCATCAAGGAAGTCTCCAAGATCCTCTCTGATGCCCGCCTCACCACCTGCCCCCTCGACCCTATCCCCTCACAACTCCTACGACCTTCCTCCTCCTCCATCCTACGCTCCCTCACCCACATCTTCAATCTCTCCCTCTCCTCAGGCACTTTCCCCTCCCCTCTGAAACATGGACACATCACCCCCATACTTAAAAAGCCCTCCCTGGACCCCAATGACCCGAACAACCTCAGACCCATCTCCCTGCTCCCATTTACATCTAAACTCCTCAAGCGCCTAGTCTACACCCGCCTATGTTCTCACCTCAACGACAACAACCTCCTCATCCCCTACAGTCCGGTTTCCGTCCCCTACACTCCACCGAAACTGCCTTACTCAAACTCTCCAACGACCTGCTAACCGCCAAAGCTAATGGCCACTATTCAGTGCTCCTACTCCTTGACCTCTCTGCGGCCTTCGACACAGTCGACCACCCCCCTCCTCCTCAAAAAACTACACTCCCTCGGCCTCAGAGACTCTGCTCTCTCCTGGCTCTCATCCTACCTGTCACAATGCTCCTTCAGCGTTACCTATAATGCTACCACCTCCCGCTCACTCCCCCTCTCTGTTGGGGTCCCTCAAGGCTCTGTCCTCGGGCCCCTTCTCTTCTCCATCTATACCTCCTCCCTTGGCCAACTCATGCACTCTCACGGCTTCAACTACCACCTCTATGCCGACGACACACAAATCTATCTCTCAACCCCCCCCACCCCCCCCCACCTCACCCCCTTGGTCTCAGCCCAAATCACACACCTACTGAGCGACATATCAGACTGGATGTCGCTCCACTTCCTTAAATTGAACCTCTCCAAAACCGAATTTCTTGTCTTCCCCCCAGCCCGGACACCACCCCCCATTGATTTCTCAGTCACATCCAACAACGCTACCATCAAACCCGCCCTGCAGGCCAGAGTACTGGGTGTCATTCTGGACTCCAACCTATCCTTCCAGCCCCAAGTCCAATCTTTAACAAACTCGTGCAGACTCCACCTCCGCAACATCGCCAAAATCCGCACGTTCCTAACCCCAGAAACCACTAAACAGCTCATCCACTCCCTCATCATATCACGACTCGACTACTGCAATTCCCTCCTCACTGGCCTGCCTCGCCGCTGGCTATCCCCGCTTCAGTCCATTCTGAATACGGCTGCCAGACTCATTCACCTTTCCAAGCGCTCTGTCTCCGCCACCCCCCTCTGCCAATCCCTCCACTGGCTTCCGATTGCGCAACGGATCAAATTCAAAATCCTAACGCTGACATACAAAGCTGTCCACCATACTGCCCCGAACTACATCACTGACCTAATATCCAAGTACCGCCCAGCACGCACACTCCGCTCCGCTCCTCACAAGACCTCCTTCTCTCTAGTTCCCTGGTCTCCTCCTCCCATGCCCACCTCCAGGACTTCTCCAGGGTGTCACCCATCCTCTGGAACTCCCTGCCCCAACCCATCAGATTATCACCTACTCTCCTCTCCTTTAGGCGCACCCTGAAAACCCATCTCTTCAGGGAAGCTACCCCACCCCCTGCTAACTTGCCGACCTCCTCCACTCTTCCTACCACTCCATCCCCCACAGCTATCTCCTCCTGTGCCACCACCCCCTCCCTCCTAGATTGTAAGCTCGAAAGAGCAGGGCCCTCGATCCCCTCATGTTTTGCATTGTATTGGTATTGTTCTGTCACATGTTCTGTCCCCCTTTGTAATGTACAGCGCTGAGCGAACTATTGGCGCTTTATAAATACTGTATAATAATAATAATAATGTGTCCAGATGAAGCAAACTGAGAAACACATTGACCTATGAGGGCTTATCTCCACAGGCTACAAATGTTATGGCCAAGAAGCGAGTTTAATAAGCCTTTTACTGTGGTTGATAAGTAGCATTGGTACATACCCATTGATAACTCAGTATTGTATACAGCCACGTTTTTATGACCTGTATTAGGTCTACATGTGATTTTAGGAACTGTTTGTTCATGTTTTATACATATTGTAATGTGTTCCCTTTTGTGCCAGTAAAGTCCAAAATTGTTTTCTATTGAGTTTGGTATACATTATGGATATGGCACTAATGGATTTAACATACTGTAGATAGAAAAAACTGGAGGAAATAAGAGACCCAGCTCCAGGTTGGTGTATAGATACAGGCCAGAGTAATCCAAATGGGGTAATAATAATAATTTAATAATAAACATGTATTATACTTTTGTTATTGTGTTGCATACAACCTTCCTTGGTTACAAGGATGCAAGCCACCTAGCAACCAGTGATGTGGGGCTGAACACTGACAATGGATTTCTGATAGACCAGTTCCCCATCAGGTCTCCTTTCCATGTGATTGACAGTGGACAGCAGTTTGTGGATTTCACAGCTGCTACACAACCTGCTAGTGGTTACGGAATCTGCCCACCTCCATCCCCTGTCAATCACAAGGAAAGTGGACCTAAGAGGGAACTATTCGCTGAGTTACACTGAGGATGGAGTGACAATCCAACCTGTTTGCCTGACACTCATTATTGGTCCTTTATGCATAGAGATCATTGCACTGCACATTTTTAGTGCAGGGTAGGAAATGGTCACAACCTGAGATGGCTTCTATGGATAACATTGCAATATTTTAGCTGAGAGCCGATGCATTGAGAGATATTTATAATGAGCTCTATTTCTTTCCCCAGATGAGGGCTCCAGAATAAGTGGCATATGCAGTGATTGCCCTATTCAGTCTTTAATAAGTTCTAGTGTATTGGACAGTTGCACTGGAATAATTTTCTCTGTGACTATTGGCCAGGAAAAACTCCTTAAATTCTTGTCAGAGAGCAGACAGGATTGTGAGCGTCTAGCAGTGCTACATTGTTTCTTACTTCACCTCAGTCTCCAGCCACAGCGGGAAACGCAGGTAAAAGTTGATCAAGAATGTTATATAAAACCCTGCTTTTTCTGTTTTGTAATATTTTTTTGCGTAAACTCAGGCTGGGCATAAATAAGCCAATTCAATCCTGCCCAACAGATGTTGCCACAATGGAGGGCAAGGAGATATCTGTTGGCTTATGGCTGGCCTCTGTTTTCATGTTTCAGTATGTTTTGGAATTCCATGGTTATATTTTTTATAAAAAAATGAAAAGAATACAAATAATCGCTTGTGGTTTTTTTGTTTTATTTTTATTTTTTTTTCTTGGGGGGGGTTCTGCTTGAAATTTAAAGATTGCTATCTATAGGGTTAGGTTTGGAGACTGGTTAGGCCACTTCATGACCTTAACCTCTCTGGAAGTATTCCCGAGTGTAGCTCGGTGTAAAGTTTCAGCACCAAAAGCGGTAACCCTGACCTACTCTCGGGAATACCCTGCAGCGTTGCTCCGGGATCCCTTCTGCACTAACCTTGTCCTGCGCTCCCCGCGATGTCCCCCCTACAGCGTCCCTAGTCATCTCCTCCGGCCGAAGCCGGCATTCGTCTTCCGGGTTCTGTTCCCTGCAACGTTGGGGCGTATGGGGAACGGAACCGGTGGGAAATTTAAAAATGTCAAAAAGTGATATTCACTAAATACACTAAAATCACATAGTAAAACATTACTGTATCAAACCATTTCACATACATTTTGTCCCTACTGCTTTTGCATGTGCCCTGCCTGCATTTTTACTATTTTTTCTGCCTGGAAACTGAGAAATGTCCAAGGCTTCCAAAAAGCGTTTAGGTCAAAAGCGATAGTAAATTAGAACCACTTGCAGAATTGAGTGATAATGATTCGTGGGGAAATTCGTCATCCAACACTGAAAACGATTTTGCGACTAAGATCAGTGATGTGCGAACTTGGCGCTCTATTTCAAATTTCAGTGTTTTTGGTTTGATTATATTATTGAATTAAATTTATTATTATTATATATTATTTTTTTATGATTATTTATTAAATTATAATTTATGATTTCGTATTTCAAATTTTAACATACCCGGGATGTTTACTAGACTCTTGTTCGGACAGATTTCAGTGAGTTATTCCTAAAAATTACAGGCCTGCAATAAAAAAAATACATATTTCCATGCAAAAAAATGTACCGCTTTGAACACAGAAATGCTGACATAATCAGACCGCTAGGCAGGTTAATGTGCTTCTTCTTGAGCCATTCCTTTATTGCCTTGGCAGTATGTTTGGGTCATTGTCATGTTGGAAACCTATCCAAGACCCATCTTCAGTGTTCTGGCTAAGGGAAGAAAGTTCTCATCCAAGATTTTACAATACATGGCTCCATCCATTGGCCCCTCAATGCGGCAAAGACGGCCTGTACCTTCAGCAGAGAAACGGTCCCAAAGCATAATGTTACCACCTCCGTGCTTGACTGTAGGGATGGTGTTCTTGGGGTCATAGTCAGAATTTTTCTACCTCCAAACACGGCGAGTCGAGTTAATGCCAAAGAGCTCAATTTTGGTCTCCCCTTACCACAGCACTTTCCCCCAATCCTTCTCCTAATCATTTAGATGTTTAATGGCAAACTTCAGACGGGCCTGTACATGTGCCTTCTTGAGGAGGGGGGACCTTGCGGGCACTGCAGGATTTCAATCCATGGCGATGTATTGTGTTACCAATGGTTTGTTTGGTGACTGTGGTCTCAACTGATTTGAGATCATTCACAAGCTCCTTCCCTGTAGTTCTGGGCTGATCCCTCACTTTTCTCTTGATCATCCTTACCCCATGAGGCGAATTCTTGTATGGCGCTTCAGATCGAGGGCGATTGATGGTTATATTGTATTTCTTCCATTTGCAAATAATCGCTCCAACAGTTGTCTCCTTCTCACCAAGCTTCTTGCTGATGGTCTTGTAGCCCATTCCAGCCTTGTGCAGGTCTGCATTCTGTCTCTATCATTTTAAAATACTCCTATAATAAAAATGCTAGACCCTTCATTTCTTTGTAAGTGGGCAAACTTACAAAATATGCAGGGGATCAAATAATTATTTTCCCCACTGTAAACAGGGGAGGTGCTGAAGCATCCCACCCCTGTTCATTGAGCCTGCAAATGGATGCCAGAGGGGGATAATTAGAAGTTCTGGGGCTTGATAGTGTACTTACCTGTCTTTGTAAACAATGGTTCTTTAAGATGTTTTAACTTGACATTAAGAAGTCAATTGATCTCTTATGTATGTTGTTATGTGTGAATACCTTAAAAGTCTCCAGTCTTGACAACTGTCTGTACAAAGGTTAGAGACAGGTATGGCATGCAGCACTGCTAGGTGAACGTCACACCTGCAGCAGATTTCAGCTTCCTTTGCAGTGCCCAAGAGTAACAATTCAATACCTTCTCATAGTTCTGAAGCTTATCTGCCCCCTCCTTCCTTCCACACATTCCTATTGGCCAGTGAGGCAACCAGTGGTAGTGATAGGCCATTGAGAAACTATGGGAGCAGGGTTTAAAGGCTAAGTTCAATTTTAGGAACCGGTTGTATGCTACACCCTAAATATGGTGTATTAGTACTCTCCTCCCACCCCCAGTTGGAAGAAGTGTCTGCAGGGACCTGCCATTGCACCTGTGATCCACTCATTGCAGGTGCAATGCCTTGTAGGCTCCTGCAAACAAGAAAATTATAAACGCACATATTTGTATTGCAAAAATATGCGTGTTTATTATTATTTTTTTTTTAATAAGGGTGAACTGAGCTCTTAATAGCAAGCTCTGATACTGCACATCATAGCAGAGGATGCTGCATGCTCCTCTGGGCACCTGTCAGCAGCTTTCAGTTTTCTTAACATTACAGAAGTCTTTGTATTCACAGTTAAACAGTATCTACGTGGGTTGTTATATAACCTATTTATTATGTTTTGTTTTTGTTAGATCATTGAATGGATCTGTGAAAACCTGTCAACATGTCAAACATTGGACCCCATACAAGAGTTCATATAATTGGTATGCTGTCTATGGTTTTATTTCCTTACTTTATGCAGGAGAATAATATGAAAACATAATTATCTTTATAATAGTTACTTGTTTGTTTGCAGGTAACAGATATGCTTCCAATTAAATGTATTAGTATGTTTTTAAAGTTTAAAAACCCTGTTCCCCGATATATTTATGTGAGTGGCAGCCATATGTGCTCATTACACATGCCGGCTCTGCTTCATGCTTTGCAGTGCTAATAGTAGTGGTTCTTTACTGTGCTTTGTCACAAGTTGGTCAACTCTTTCAAAAACAATGTGGCTGATATCTTTTCTCAACAGCTGTTGATATAAACAGAGCAATTTCACCAAGCCTCTGAAAGTGTGTGTGTGGGCCCGGGGTCAGTAGGGGGCCCCATGAGATGCCCCTGGTACCTTTTTCATAGGCTTTTTTGAGTTTGGGCAAGGACACAGGGGCCCCATGATCCCCTATTGCATGGGGGCCCCATGAGTTGTCAGTCCGTGTGTGTGTGTTTTAACAAACCTCTATTGCTGATCCAATAAAAAAAAAAGAACTTGCTCTTTAATGTATTAAATCCCAATGAATGTTATTGTAATGTAGTATTCACTGCAATGATAAGATAAAATGTATTTGTATTTATAGTAGGTCTTGACAATAGCTGGGCTCCCAGAACACTGAAGACATAGAAAATGTAATTTTATTGTCTTGTGTGTCTTAATTTGCTCTTATAGATATCTCCATAGTTAGATGGTTGGTTTAATGTTTTAACACCTCCATTCTGATTCTTCTGGGTAGGCAATCAAGAATGAGATATAACCAATCTGTTTACTTTAATGTCCTAATATGTATGGGTCCTCAATAGATGATTTAAATGTAGCTTTACTGTTTAAATTGGTTCTATATGTAGTAAACTTTCAATAGTTATGATTTTTTTAATGGTTTTTATTTTATTCCCTTCCTAGCTTCTTTACACAGGAATTTAAGTTCAGAGGCGACACACCTGGATAAAGTTTTGGCATACACATCAGTGCCTTTTTGGGGACAGGGTGAGCAGAAAATGCATACAAAATGCATGACAGTCTCCTCCCTCTAACATACATTGCTTCCCTAATGGAACTCTATCCACAACGTTGAAACCTGAGAGTGATTCTAACCATTGGAAAGTCTATCTAAAATGTAAAGAAAACCGTTTTGACTAGACTTCCAGATTACTTTTGACTGAATGTTTTATAACTCTGTAGTTTAAAAGTTTGCATATCTAATTTCTGTATATAAAAAATCATGCTGCAGTTATTTTTTGTGCATGTGGTGGTGGTGGGGTTCTGGAGCTTGAATACTGCATTCAGCATCGAGCCAAGTCAGAAGTGAACACGCAGAATCCTAAGACTTTAGAACTTGGAGAGGACTCCATTTTAAATGCACTACAAACCAGTTATAAATATGTTATATGAGATTTACTAATAAATTTCCTTACTATTTTTTTTTTTTTTTTTGTTGTCAGGGCATACGTGGGGTTTCATGTACAACTGACATTACAGATATGCCAGTTATGAAGGTGAGACTTTGAATGTGAATAAGAAATGTATAATAGTACCTTATTGAAGAATGATAGATACTTTTTGAAAAGAGTATACTAAGCTGAGCCACATTGAGCTTGCCTGTTATTAGTTCATTGTTGGTTGGTCTCTGCATCACATTTCATGTTTTTTTGACAGATTAGTACGTTTAAAGGCTTCTGGCAGAAGTTTCATTTTGAACTAGAATATATGAAACATAGCCAACAACAGTTTCTCTACAGCAGTCACATGCAAAGGAGGGACTGGTGCAAACTCCTTTCACAACTGGCAAGTATTACTATAAACTTTATCACTATTTTGTAGCACTTGATTACTTGCAAATCTAATTCTAGCTATTAAGTTGTCAAATATGAGGATGAAAGTGAACAACTATCCACATACCCCCTTTCTGACAATCACTGGAGGTCTGCCTACTCAGAACATGTGTTAAGCAGCTGCTTTAACAGCAATACCTTACATCTCCCCAGGTACTGCTGCTTGTAGGTTCTCTCCAACGCATGCATCCTAGGCTCTGATCCTAGGCTCTGAAACGCATTGCACATCAGTTCAATTATGTCGAGTTTTGCTTGTACATAGAATTTCTACAGTCCCAGCAGAAACTGGGAATTGTGGAAAACCTGTTTAAAAGCAGTGCGTTGAATTGTAGACATTAGAGGTTTGCAAAACTCACCATAATGTGTCATTCTGGATGTATTCATCAGTATTCCTGATCTGGAAATCTCCATTTTGAGCAGCTTGTCATAACTCCTGATTCCTTTGGAAGGCAGCCATTGGAGATTCTGCACCCCATCCCCCACAAAGCCACAGCTTTTGCACCATGCTATGCAAACTTTTTCAGTTGGCCTTTGGGCTGCCTATCCAAAAGACTTGGACAACCCACTGGCCAACTTAGAGCACATGGTAGGCTAACAACATTGCTGCTAATTATGAGGCAGTGGCTTAGTGATGTTAGCCTGCAACAAAAAGTGCTGTTAGTGACAAGATCTTCAGGTAAGAAACTTTACAAAAGATCCACAAAACACATATTTAGAAAACTGTACATGGTCAGGCATTAAGCTAAATATACTGAAAACTAAATGTAGGTTTTACCTACATTTAGTTCCAACCAAAAATGATGACATGTAAGGACAAGGGTGCAAAAATCAGGGCTTGTTACATGTAAATTCAATGCTAAATTATAGTGTGACATGCCAAACACGCTGAAAATTATCTTTAGGGCATACATACACTTTAAACCAGAATGTGAAGATTTTGGCATGCAAGATGCACGGAAATAACCTCTCTCGCCCAAATAAATGGTCATTATACATGTTGCAGTGCACAATTTAGTTTGTTCCCTACCGCACACCGGGGCTAAAATAAAAAGGCACCATGGGAAAATGGCAAACCTCTGATATCCAAATATTTCAGTACAAAATGTTAAATAGAAGTAGGTTTTGGGTGCATGCTTTTATTATGTAATCGGCTGTCTTAATTTCCACTACTGCATATTAACTTTTTTTTTTTTTTTTTTTTATATATATATATATATATATGTTAAACTGACACAGGATACTGGTGAGAAGAGAAATGCAGTCTATCAGCGAAATATACTTGAAAAAGCAAAGAAGTAAGTCAGTCAGCATTTATCTTTGTATTAGAGGTAGCTGGCTGTGAAACTGCGGCTGTTCTTTGGTAATAGAGTAGTCCTATATCCTTCTTCTTTTTTTTTTTTTTTTTTTTTTTTTTTGGTCATTTATGGGCTTAATCAAACTAAGAGCAGCTGCTAGAAATGGAACACTTTTTCTAGAAAAGTGTGTGTACGTATTAAATAATAATAATATAGGTATGGGGTGTTTTTATGAATGATACCTTCCACAGATTTTAACAGATATAAATCTGAACTGTATCAAAAAGCCTTACTGTTTTGTTGACCATTTGCTAGAATTAGCTGCTAATGTGTTACTTAAAACGGCTTACCAATTTATTTTAATGAAAATGTGTATATATATTTTTCTTTCAGGGTTCTTTTTAAACATGGATTCAATGAAACAAGGTATGTTGTGAAATCTTCCCTGTGCATTTTTTTTTATTTTTTTTTTTTATAGAAGAAAACATTAACTGTAACAGAAATGCCTGCAACAGGATCAAGGGTGGTCAAGGCTCATTGATGCACGTGGGTAGCGAAGGCCTTTGTAGTCTGATCCATTAGAAGAGCTACTGCAGCTCAAATTGCTAAACAAGCTACCAATAGAAAAGTGTCAGATCACACTGCATCACAGTTTGTTACATAAGGGGGTGTGTAGCTGCAGACTGATCAGGGTGCCCATGCTGACCCTTGTCCACAGTCAAACTTTAATACGATGGACACATGAGCATCAGAACTGGACCACGGAACAATGGAAGAAGGTGGCCTGGTCTGAAAAGTCCATTTTTCTTTTACATTATTATTATTATTATACAGGATGTATATAGCGCCAACAGTTTGTGCAGCGCTTTACAACATAAGGGAGAAAGTACAATTACAATACATTTCAGTACAGAAGGAATGTGAGGGCCCTGCTCCTGGAGCTTACAATCTAAAGGAAGGGGGAGATGATACAAAAAGGTGATAGCAAAAGAAGTGAGTTTTCAAAGATCGCCTAAAGGCAGACAGGGTGGGGGCTGACCGGACATGCTGTGGTAGGGAGTTCCAGAGGATGGGAGAGGCTCTGGAGAAGTCCTGGAGGCGAGCATGGGAGGAGGTGATGAGGGAGCTAGAGAGGAAGATATCTTGGGAGGAGCGGAGTGGGCGATTTGGCCGATATCTGTTGATGAGGTTGGTGATGTAGCTAGGGGCAGTGTTGTGGATGGCTTTGTAAGCTGTGGTTAGTATTTTGAATTTTATACGTTGGGTTAGTGGAAGCCAGTGAAGGGATTGGCAGAGAGGGGCAGCAGTCACTGATCGGTTGGTAAGGTGTATGAGTCTAGCAGCAGCATTCATAATAGACTGAAGGGGGGATAGCCTGTGTAACGGTAGACCAGTGAGGAGGGTGTTGCTGTAATAGAGGCGGGATATAACCAAGGCGTGGATGAGTTGTTTTGTGGTGTCATTGGTCAGGAAGGGGCGGATTTTGGAAATGTTCCGGAGGTTGAGGTGGCAGGATTTAGCCAGTGAGTGGATCTGGAGCCCAAAGGAGAGGTCAGAGTCTAGGATTATGCCTAGCACCCTGGCATGAGGGGAAGGACCAATGGTTGTGCTGTTGATCTTAATGGTAAAGTCGTGAGTGGGGGATCGGGGAGGAGGAAATATTACAAGCTCAGTTTTTGAAAGATTGAGTTTAAGGTAGTGATGTGACATCCATGCTGATATGTCGTTTAGTAGATTTGTGATACGTGAGGAGATTGAGGGGGTGAGCTGGGGAGTGGAGAGAGAGATCTGGGTGTCATTAGCATAGAGGTGGTATTGGAAGCCATGGGAGGTTATCAGTTGGCCCAGGGAGGAGGTACAGAGCAAGAAAAGGAGGGGCCCAAGAACAGAATCTTGGGGTACCCCAACAGAAAGGGGAAGAGGAGCGGAGGAGTTGTATGTGACACTGAAAGTGCGCTGAGAAAGGTAAGAGGAGAACCAGGAGAGAGCAGAGTCACGGAGGCCGATTGTCAGGGCAGGAGCTGAGGAACGGACAGGCAGGCCTAACAATGTAACGCACTGGCTGACGACAACCACCACCCACAGACCGAAGTCCCTCAGGGCGCGGAGTCTAAGTCCCAGGCCACCCTTTACCAGGGCCCCTGATGGTGGGGATGGACTTGACGCAGCCAGGAACCAGGTCGCGGCCCCCGAGACACCTCAGCTGCGGTAATGGCCGCCGCCAATGGCGTGTAGCTGGTGGAAGAGACAAAAGAGTAGTCAGACAAGCCGGGGTCAACAACAACAGGACAAAACAGTACAGGACAGCAGACGAGAATCACAGGTCACGAGCCGGGTTCAGCAACAGAGGGTCAGATCAAAGGAGAATACAAAGAATAGTCAAGTCACAAGCCAAATCAGATACCAGGAGAGTCAGAACAGAGTAATAGCAACACAAAGACACAAGTGCAAAGAGCATGTGCGGGCCACAGGCTTATATGTCATCAGCCACACCCCTCTGGGGGATGGACCACAGAAACCTGAAGGCATAAAAGGATTCCCATCATGCACAGCAGAATCCAAGATGGACGCCAGCACATGGAGTAACATAACCTCAGGGAAAAGGTAGAACCTTGACACCGATGGAGTGGAGTTTACTAAGGAGAATCGGGTGGTCGACTGTGTCAAAGGCAGCAAAAAGGTCAAGGAGTATGAATATGGAGTAATGGCCATTGGTTTTAGCAGTTAGTAGGTCTTTAGTGAGTTTTAGTAGGGCAGTTTCTGTGGAATGTTGTGGGCGGAAGCCAGACTGTCGGGGATCCAGAAGGTTGTTGTCGGTGAGGTAGAAGTTCATACGGTTGTGAACAAGGCGCTCAAGAAGCTTGGAGGCAAACAGGAGCAGGGAGATGGGTCTTAAGTTTTTCAAAACAGGTGGGGTCCAGCGAGGGTTTTTTTGAGAATGGGGGTAACCAGTGCATGTTTGAACAGGGAGGGAAAGGTGCCCATGGAGAGTGAGAGGTTGAAAATGTGGGTTAGAGAGTTTAGGATAGAGCAGTAAGGAGGCTGCAACAGTTGAGGGGACAGGTGGTGAAATGGGCCTTGGAAAGGAGATCGGTAACTTCCTTGGTGGTAACAGGGTCGAAGGAGGAGAGTGTTGAGTTTGGTATTGGGCCTGATATGTTGTTTAGAGGAGGAAGCTTGACACTGGCGATCTCATCACGAATTGTGTCGATCTTCTTCTTGAAGTGACTGGAAATCTCCTGTGTAGTAAGTAAGTTGGTGGGCGGAGGCAGTGGGGGTGGAGTACAGAATTAAGGGTAGAGAAGAGTTGACGAGGATTGGATGATGTTGAGTCCATGCCTCAATGGCTCAGGGCTGTTTTGGGGCAAAGGAGGACCTACGCAATAGTACGTAGGTGGTCATAATGTTATGGCAGATACTTTAGTAGGCATTAGATGAAAACCAAAGGTCAGGGTGTGTTAGATGAAAACCAAATGTCAGGGTGTGTAACTAGAGAGCAAGTACCTTATAAGCAGAGCAGAAGTAACTTTTACTAAGAGGACACATGCAGTATTTGTAGCTATGAATCAGTGCCTTATTCTATTCAAGTGTGTATGCACACATTTACATCTTTCTATAGCTCCTGTTTTTGTTCTATTCCTGAAACATTTGGTTGCAGGGAGTGTTCAGTGTTGGGACTCATATTTTTTTTTTAGATGATATAGAATCTGTGTTTAAAAGTACTTTTTATTATTTTTATTTTTATTACAGGTACTTGTATAGCGCCGTCAATTTACCCAACACTTTATATATATATTGTACATCCACATCAGTCCCTAACCCTCAATGGGTGTATAATCTAAGGTCCTTAACTTACATTGATACATGCACATATTAGGGCCAGTTTAGACAGGAGCCAATTAACCTACCAGCATGTCTTCGGAGTGTGGGAGGAAACCCATGCAGGCACAGGGAGAACATGCAAACTCCAGGCATGTGGTGCCATGGTTGGGATTCAAACAAATGACCTTTGTACTTTTTCAGTCTTTGCAGATGACACCAAGCTGTGCAGTGGAATAACGTCCCTACAGGATGTTTCCAATTTACAAGCCGACCTCAATGCACCGTTTAATTGGGCAACTATGTGACAAATGAGGTTTAATTTTGATAAATGTGAAGTTATGCACTCGGGAGGCTAAGAATATGCATGCACCATACATGCTAGGGGGAGTGTAACTGGGGAGTCAATGGTGAAGGATCTGGGAGTTCTAGTAGATCATAAGCATAATAGCATGCAATGCCAAGCTGCGGTTTTCAAAGTGAGCAAAATCCTTTGTATTAAGAGGGGTGTAGACTCCAGAGAGCGAGAGAGATCATTTTACCCCGGTAAGACCCCTTCTGGAATATTCAGTTTTGGATAGCAGTTCACAAAAAGGATATCGGGCAACTGGAGAAAGTACAGAGAAGGGCAGCCAAACTGATACGAGGCATGGAGGAGCTCAGCTATGAGGAAAGATTAGAGGAACTGGATGTATTCTCTCTTGAGAAGAGGAGATTAAGGGGGATATGATTAACATTTATAAATACATAGGTGGTCCATATAGTGAACTTGGTGTGGAGATATTCACTTTAAGGTCATCACAGAGGACAAGGGGGCACTCTTTACGTCTGGAGGAAAAGAGATTTAATCTCCAAATACAGAAAGGCTTCCTTACAGTAGGAGCTGTAAAATGTGGAATAGATTCCTTCAAGAGCTGGTCCTGTCCACCTCAGTAGATTGTTCAGAATATATCCAGAGAATATCCAATTGTCTCTTGGGGGATTAGGATTTTTTTTTCCCTGCTGGAGCAAATTGGAGCTTTATTGGGTTTTTTTCCTCCCTCTGGATCAGTTGTATGTATAGGATTGTATAATTTTTTTTTCACTTTTATTGGTTGAACACATGGACCTGTCTCTTTTTTTTTTCTTTTTTTTTTTTTTTTCTTCAACCAGACTAGCTATGTCACTATAAGTGGTACCTGCAGTATTTCTTTGTTCATTTGGTTTAGCTGGATAGTATCCAAATTACATGACTGCCATCCAGCTCCTCCTAATCTGATTAAAACCAGTCTGGTTTTTGCACAGGGTTTGGAATTCTCCAATTAGGCTTATTCGCTATGGCATTTTTTTTTTTCCCTAACAGAAAGCACCGTGCCATTAATCCCAGAAGAAGACTACATTCAAAAGGATCTGATGGGACTGGTATGTGTAGCATAACAATATGGTTACTTCACAATGTACACAGTAATGTAGATCTTTCTAACATCGGAAGTTCTGTAACTTCTGCTGTGGAATTGTATGTGTGTGCATGGCATTAGATTTTAATTCATATAAAGGTGATAAAGTTGAACAAATGACAGTGTAGTCCTTTTCATGATATAAAAATAAACTGTAAAATGCAAGTTTTTCGTATGGAAAAATTAAGTACACCCTTACATTTACTTTATTTCATTTACCTGCAGCTAAAAGGGAAGGTGGAAATGGTCTTCTATCATAAGGTGTAGGAAACTATAACCATTCACAATAGGCTTTCATTAACCCAATAAATAACCTATTCAGCAATTGGCTATTTTTTTTTTTTTTAATGAGTAGGTGTGGTGTTGGTCTCCAACCAATAACCCCATTTAGTTGCAGCGCACATTGCTAAATATCTAGAAAGGGAATTTTCAGACAGTGGAAACACTGCAAATAGGGGCTAAAATTACCCCTATTAGAAAATGATAAACACACCACACATCGTACAGTGTGTTAGTGGTTTATATATATTTTGCTAGGCTTGCATAATCCTTAAAAGGGTGAGACTGGGATATTTGACTTATTACTTTTTTCATATAGTATTTTATAACATCTTTGTGGAGACACCATTTTGATTTCCATTCATATGAAAGAATGGTACAATATGGTGATCTCCCCTTGATATGTGTATATATATTACAGGCAATATTTTTGAAATATGAAGGTGATGGTGTTACTTTCTCCATTTCAGGGGTGTACAAACAACATATTCAATATTCTTACTATAATACAAAATTCCTAACAAAAATTTGGGTAGCTAGTCCTCCTCTTGGCTTTTTAGCATGTGGGTATATGTACCCTCGTTCTTTGTTCAAGTAAGTGTACATTCCATTTTGGGAGATTGAACGTCTAGTGGAAGTAATGCAATTGACATTTATGTGTCATCAAACCAAGATCAACAGAGCTTTCGAAGGCCCTCCAAAGTTCTGCATATCTCATGATTCTGGCAAGGGATTTAAAAAGTTTGCCAAGTGATATGAAATTTAATCATTACACTGAGGAAAATAATCTACAAGCTGTGTACATTTCATACAACTACATTTGTCTGACTGGCTGGCTGGCCAAGCAAATTTAACCAAAAAGCTGACTGACTGAGGCTGAAACAAGCAAACATTTTGAGCTAATCCTATTGGACCAAATCATTTGGCTTGGGATCGCATCTCACACCTACATTTGAATAGACTACTTGAAAATGCCAAATGGAAAAAAAAAAATGAGGCACAGCAGAGGGGTGCCAACTAAATGCAGTATGTAAGTAAAATTTTTATTAAATTCCTAGATTGTAAGCTCGAAAGAGCAGGGCCCTCAATCCCCTCATGTTTTGCATTGTATTGGTATTGTTTTGTCACATGTTCTGTCCCCCTCTGTAATGTACAGCGCTGAGCGAACTATTGGCGCTTTATAAATACTGTATAATAATAATAATTAAAAACATGTTATTAGCAGCTCACTTGGTATAAAAAACCTAAATGGCATTACTCTATCCATGAGCAGTAATGAAGGCAAGCCTTGCATTGTGCTTCCAGGAGTATAAGCTCCAATGTGACCAACAGATAACTCAATGGACGCCAGAAACCGAAAGTTCCAGAACCACTGTGGGAGCTCATAGATGGTACAAGAAATGACATCACACCTGGGAGGACCGCAAAGGGGGGGCGCCCTCTGTGGTCTATTTTGCCAAATATAATCTATTGTTAACCACTTTTCTACCTGGCACTTTCACCCCCTTCCTGCCCAGGCCAATTTTCAGCTTTCAGCGCTGTTGCACTTTGAATGACAATTGCGCGGTCATGCAACACTGTACCCATATGAAATTTTTATCTTTTTTTTTTTTAAACCGATAGAGCTTTCTTTTTGTGGTATTTAATCACCACTGGGGTTTTTTTATTTTTTGCAAAACAAACCAAAACCTACTGAGTTTTTTTTCTTAGTTTCTGTTATAAAATTTTGTAAATGAATAATTTTTCTCCTTCACTGATGTGCAGTGATAGGCAGTACTGATGAGGAGACACTGGTAGGTGGCATTGATGGGCATTGACAGGAATCACTGATGGGCGGCACTGATTGGCATGACTCATAGGTGGCACTGACAGGTGGCACTGAAAGGCAGCTCAGATGGGCATTGATGTGCACTGGTAGGCATTGATATGTGGCATTGATGGGCACTGACAGGTGGTATTGATGGGCACTGATAGGTGGCACTGATGGGGCTACACTGATCATCAGGGTACTGATGATCAGTGTAAATGTTCCCTCTGAGGAATGCCGATTACCGGCTCTCCTCTCCACACGAGCTGTTGACGTGACAGCTTGTGAGGAGAGAAATGCAGATAACCGGCATTTCTTTATTTACATGCGATCAGCTGTGATTAGACACAGCTGATCACATGACAGAGCCGAAGTGATCGACTCTTTCCGCTGATTTGGTGATCCGCTGTGTCCCAGAGACACAGCGCACCACCGATCGCCGCGCGCACATGTGGTTAGAGTAGAAAGACGTCATATGACGTCCTCCCAGAACGAGAGAACCACCGCCCATCTGTCATTTGCATATATGGGTATACATGTTCAGGGTTTTTTTTTTTTTTTTCAAACAGTAAAAAAACCTGACAGATCCCTGCATCATCCTAATGATTGTGTGATGCAGGGATTTCTTCCACTGTGCTATTGTATTCTGACCAGAGGACAAAATTAAATGAAGTTCTTATAAAAATATTGGTCGCTAGACTAAACTGGGTCATTTTCTCAGTTCTACATGATGGCCATTGAGGTTTTATGCCTGTCAGCCACAACTAATATTCATAGGACCCAAATTAATAAACAAATGGCAGTATATATTTCAGAAACATGTGCTTTGGCCTCTTTAGATACAGCTAAGACCATTTTATTCTATTTCATTTTTACAAATGTTTTTCACAGAGGCACAAGGTAGAGATGTCCTTTTTTTTTTTTTTTTCTGCTCCTCTCTTTTTTACGATCACAATTAAACCCTAGCTATAAACATTCACCAAATGGACAGCTTTGAAGGTATCACTCCAGAACAAAGGCATTTACACAGCTTATTTAATATTGTATCTCTTGGCTGTAGGTCTACCCTTAAAATTGGAGATAGGTGCCACTAAAACATTTAGTAAATATTCGGGACTGAAAATTAACTGGTAAAAATCTGTTTTGAGGACAGTCTCCAAACCGTTATGTACTTACAAACGTCTTCAATATCATCTTGCCATGGTTACCTCTTTTTAAGTATTGTATCTGGGGAATTAAATACTAAAGGACCCCCAGCAAGCAATTTCAGAAAATATAGACACATTATTACAAACTATTAAGAGTAAATTACTTGTGTGATTCACGTTAGCTGTAACTGACGCTGGTAGAATCAACTTAATTGAAATGATTAAATGCCAGTGATGGTACTTATATACTTAAATTAACTTAAATTGATACTAAACTTACACTGTTTAATTTATATTATCCCTTCTATTTCTGTATGTGGATGATGGCACTGTAATTATTTTAATAGGTAAAAACTAAGTACCCTTTTCATAGTCATGATACAGCTGTCACATGACCCAGTTTTTTTCCCAGCCTGTCTGCAGGGAAACATAAGCAGGAAAAATACTAGAAAAATGCCACAGTGAATAGGTGGCGGGGCGGACTGACAATAGGGGATCATGGGGCCCCTGTGTCCTTGCAGAAACTCAAAAAAGCCTATGAAAAAGGTACCGGGGCATCTCATGGGGCCCGCTACTGACCCCAGGCCCTCGGGCAGTGCCTGAGTTTCCAAATGGTCAGTCCGCCCCTGAAAGGTGGATCACCCTTATATAATTACTCTCTGACTCATCAATAAATGATATTAATATTATACAGGATTTATGTAGAGCCAACAGTTTGCTCAGTGCTTTACAATATAATGGAAGACAATACAGCAACAATACAGTTCAATACAAGAGGGATTTGAGGGCTCTGCTCCTTGGAGCTTACAATCTAGGAGATATGGGTTATAACCACAGAAGACTATAGCATACGAAAAAACAACCCTAAAGAAAGGCAATAAAGTAATGGTTTAAAATAAACTCAAGCAGAGTAGTATCAGGTGCAAAAATTACTTTATTGTAAATCTCACAATGAGTTGAAACCTTGCAAGGTGAAAACACATCACAACTATTAAAAAATCAACAATCAAGATTGCGATATCCAAAGGCTGTAATAGAGTACCACTCATCATGGATTTGCTCTACTAAATACAGAATATTCATAACCCGCAAATTAGTGAAGTAATAAACTTGTTAATAGAAAATAATTTGTCATCATCATAAACAATGACCATGTTAGATAGCATAATTACTGAGCATCTGAATGATATAGGTTCCTATCAGCCTATAAGTAGGAATTATTAAGGATCATAGATATAGTCCGGAGGAACAGAAAATCATTCAGGCCCATATCCAAATATATGCATATTCAAACATGTCAAAAAAATGAATTGATATGACAATTATTTCAATCATCAGGGACAGCAGGAAAGTACAGACCAATTCCAGCAGAAGTAAAACTATCACATGTGTAGCACAGACAGTGAGCGTGAACATCACAAATAATGACCTAAATAGAGAAAAGCATGTGGATAACAGCTCTGAGTGAAATAGGTTACGGTCATCCTGTATTAGGAGAGTATAAAAGGACAGCCTGTCTGCAGGGAAACATAAGCAGGAGGAGCTTCTAGTCCTCTGCTGCTGGTCGCATGATCAAAAAAAAGCCTTTGAAACAGAGTAAACATAATATCAATAAACCGTTTTTAAAATTGTCATACAAATATATATTTTGAAATCAAAATCTTTATTATTTTTTGGAAATAACATGGTGTGGGTGGATTTCTGCCAATCACACACTCTGTCGCACCCCTCCTGTCTGTGTCTTAGAATAACAGGTGAGGTATAGTCTCCACCAATCAAGATGTAATATCACCACCCCTACTGGTTAGCTAAAGTTGTCTCCACTAAACTCTAAAGTTCAATGGGCTGCTCAGATGTGATGGGGAGAAAATGCTTAGCATAGACACACTGAAAACTGAGCATGTGCAGTAGCTGCCAACACTACTCTGCAAAATCCCCTACTTTGGGGACAAGGACTGAAGGGAGAGAGAGAGAACAGCAAGATCAACCAGGTTTTTTGCAGAATACAGAAAGCAAATTCTATTCATGAGTATGAACAGCATAGAATACAGCATTTATGGATATTTTTTTTTTTCTATAATGACACTTTGATTTACTATTTTCCTCTTTTTCATATGGACCAATACCGAATAAATACAAATTGAAACTTTCCTCTCTACAAAGGCCTAAGGAGGAAGCTGAAATGGCCTTTCCATAAATACTCTTATTATTTGGCTGGAAAATTAAAACTCTTAAAAACCTGGGCCCAATCTAATTGTCCTCCTACCACAGAGGCATATCTGGCACATATTCTGAATATAAGGTGGCTATTGATCTATCTTAAAACCCCCAAACTATATCTTTCTAATATCCGGTTACTGATACTGAAATTGGCAAAGTCTGTTTGGACCAAAGTGAAGATTTCCTCCTTCACATGTTTTAGCTGACATTTCTTTCTGAGACAATCCAACGTTTGAACAATGTATCTCAGACATAACCACATGAAAAGACTGTTGAACTAGATGGACCTGTTATACAGCTACAAGAATGATATGACTTGCCACAGTTTTTTTTTTTTTTTTTTTTTTTTTCCCTAAAGATACTTGCATGGGGTGTACCTAATTTTTACACGTGTGTGTGTGTGTGTGTGTGTGTGTATATCTTAGAACCAATTTTTCACCTTATTTTATACTGGAATTTTGCCAGTTGATGTTTAATCTACTACATGCAGTGCACAGTATGGGGCTGATTTACCTAGCTTAGTAAATGTGGTAAAAATTTTCTTTGTAAAGAATACCCAATCACATGCAAAGAAAGTAAAACTTTCACTAAGCCTTGGGGAAAATTCCCTTGCAAAGTGAAAAATTAAAGGGAGCTCCACTTTCATGGGTAAAACAAAAGATAGCAAATAAAAAAATATAGCGTACACAATTCTAAAGTCCTATTGAAACTGAATGTTATTAACAATTACCTTCTAAATTTGCAGCACTGTAATATTCAGTAAAATGCAATGCAATATGGTTACCTGGAGGCATTTTGTACACAGATGGTGTACAGAACGCCCCCCAGAAATGTATTTTCCTTGTTTCCAGTGATTGGCTCACTGATTTTGCCAGAAGTCTACACTAAGAGAAGTCAGCTTTTGAGCATCCCTTGCAACAAAAATGTCATTTTTGGTGAAATGCTCTCAAAAGGGAAATCACATGTAAAGGGATGCTTACTTTGCAAGTTTCCTCATTAGAGCCCCACAGGGGCAGCAGCTGATTAATAATTATGAAACCACTCTCATACAGAATCAATGACTGCACATGGACACAGACAAACTGCTAATTCTTCAGAATAACAAAAGGTAGGAATCTGCAACAAAGTTTGTTGAAATTCCTGCAATGCACATAGATCACCCAGAGGGTAATGCTTTTCTGTCAACAAAAGTGGCATTACTCTTTATATCTATTTGCCCTTAGTAAATCAACCCATATATATAATTGGTTTCCTTTGAAATAATTTACTTATTGCAGTTTCTGCAGTGCACACCAGATGTCTCCAACCCTAAATTATATGACTGGTTAACGCAATCTTTTTAGATGGTTATAACTCTATATTTCCCAGACTGAAGAAACTAAGAAAGTTTCAAAATACATTGCTGTGAAATATAGGGCAGTGTTGCAAAATGTGAACTGAAATAGGTAAAATATGTTCATGTACGAAGGTCATTATGCTCAGGTCTTTCCTTGCAGGAGACGAAAAGTATTATTCTTATTATTATACAGTATTTATATAGCATCAACAGTTTGGACAGGAATTTACAAAAGAAAGGGAGACAGTTCTAGTTCATTACAGCATTGTTAGGTGGGCCCTGCCCATGTGAGTTTACAATCTGGAGATGATTGAGTATTAAATCGAAATGAGTAAGAGAACATTGAATATTAAATCGAAAGGAGTAAGATAACATCTGACTTATTTAGTAAGATCTTGCAAGAGACATGAGGATGATGTGAAAGTTCTAGAAAACCATGGCAGCCTTTCAGAAATCCTCTTCCATGGATCGAAAATGTAATGCCTATTGTTTACCTTGTAATATAATTCAGAAAGTGTTACCTAAAAAACTATTTACAATTCTTTCATTGCAGATGATGGTAAAGCTAAGAGATCATTTATCACAACATCTCCATCATGTTGGAAAAAACAAAATTGAAAAGATTGTTTTGAACTTTTTTTCTAAACAGGTAAATGCACTAAGTGGTTGTGGACTCGGAATCAAATGAGTCAACTTGTTAAATGTGGTTTAAATGTAAGCGGGGTTGGGGGTGTTTGTTTACAACAAATTAGATGCTTATACATAAGAAAAATGTTTTGGTCAACAGTGTTAGGCCCCTTTCAGGCAGAGCGGACCCATCAGTGGATCTGTTTGCTCAGTAGGGAATCTCTCCGCTGATCCCCGCTGAGTAAGTGGATGACAGCAATTTGGAAGAAGGGTCAGCCGCACATGGGAGGATAGATGAATATAGTGTATATTTATTAATCCATAGGACACACAAAACACCAGGACATGAATACAGGACTTGTTAACGCTTTTCACATGATCTCGTGCTTAATCATAACAAAGGTTATGATTAAGCACGAGATTGTGTGAAACGCATTAAGTCCTGTATTCATGTTCTGGTGTTTTGCATCATGTGTGGTGACGAGCCAGAGCCTGCACCTGTTGTGGATTGATCTGGATTGTTTGCCTGAGCGGTATACCTTTTGTTCTTTGGATTAAGTGGATGACAGGTCGGTGTCCTTTCTGCTTTTCTATGGGGCTGTCTGATGGAAACAGACTGTCTGTCCCGTTTCTACTTGACTGTCATCCGATCCGCCGTCTGTTTTAGCGTACATGATCGGATCAGATGCCCATAGAGGTCTACGAATGGTTCGATCGGGTCCGCCTGGAAAAACTGAGAGGCAGACCCTATCAGACCATCACTATGAAAGGGGCCTTACATGCTTTACATTTTGGGATATGGAGAGGGAGGAAATTTCAAAGATAGTAATGCATGTATGTATGTAAAGTGAGCAACCTTGATTTATCTTGTGACAAAAGCATCTGAAAGCAGAAAAAGTGGGCAACGGTAAGGATTTGAGCAACTTTGACAGGGGTCAAATTGTGATGGCTGGATGACTGGCTCAGAGCAACTCCAAAACTGCAGCAATTGTGGAATGTTCCTGGTATGCAGTGGTCTGGACCTACTGAAAGTGGTACAAAGATGGAAAACTAGTGACAGGGTCATGGGCAGCAAAGGCTCATTGATGCATGTGGGAAGTGAAGGCTGGCCTGTGTAGTCTGATATAATAAAGGAGCTAAAATTGGTAAACAAATTTTAATCCTGGTTCTAGTAGAAAGGTGTCAGAACATACAGTATGTTGCAGTTTGATGTGTATGGGAGCAGAGCAGTCAGGGTGCCTATTCTGACTCATGTCCACAGACACAAGTGCCTACAGTGAGCGCATGAGCATCAGAATTGGACCAAAGAGCAATGGAAGAAGATGGCCTGCTCTGAGGAATTCAGAAATAGTTTAAGGAACATAACGAGTTTGAGATGTTGACCTGGCTTCCAAATCTCATTCCAACTGAGCATCTGTAGGAAGTGCTGGAAAAACATGGGGGGGCCCCACCTCACAACT